AAATTAATACATAACGAGTCGTTCTAACTCTCATGATATAGACAAATAATTTCGATGAAGAATGGTGCGGAGTGAGTTAAACATGCAATCAAAATCAAGTGTGTCTGTTGGAATGAGTCGACAAATCTGACATGATATACAAATGGGGTCTCGCTCTCTCTCTCTCTCTCTCTCCCTCTCTCTCCTTCAAGCCACCCTCATTTCATATGCATGAATTTGTGTGTTTGTGTATCGTATTAAATTTGTTATTTATGAAATTTAATACAATTTTTACCGGTTTAACTGATGCGGATGTCGTTTCCACTTCCATTACAACTTGAATTTTCCAAGTATTCGCTGTCGCTGCTTAAATTATGCTCTCATGTACATTTGTACATTTCCATGTCAAATGCTTTTTGCGCGGAAAAGATTTACTGTTGCATCGCTAAAATGTACGTATGCTTTAATGATTGTATCGTACATAGAGAGAAACACAACCTCAAAATGTGATACAATGTGTTTTATGTGTTTTGAAGATCTGAAAATCATCGCACATATTTGAATGGGTTTGGTTTTTGTACACAGTCGTTGTAATGCTAACGAGAGCATTTTATCTGGTGAGTTAGACTAACTGAAGTGCTGGATGATTGCTGACAGCAACTTGTATTTCGATACACATACAATTTCTTTTCATTTTCCATCTTGTCAACAATGCACACAGTACAATGGCAAATACAACGGATTGTTGTTCAGCGAAACAACATTTTAAACAAGTTAAAGAATACAGGGAGAGAAAACACACATAGCCACTACTGACTCATTTCGAATAAAAAAGCGAGAAAGAGAGAGAGAGAGAAAATGTGGAGAACACAATTCGCCCGACATAAACCCGAAATGCAACTGACTCTTTGCATAACTATTTCCAATGTTTACATTTTCTATGCTCGACGGTTTAGCACTTGAGTTTGGGGATGCACTACACATGCATATGTACACAACATGACTTTTTCGTTCGCAACAATTTCAAAGGAATGACACGACAACGATAACTGGATCTAACACGGAGCAGTGCCTGGTATCATCGCCATAACATGCGCAACCATATCCACCCATGTGGAATTTGAATTGTTATCCAAAAACATGAAATGTGGTGAAACATTAATTAAAACGGAAAATTCCGAAAATAAACTTAACATATGTACTTGTGAACGTACATTTCGTTCTGTCCAACGTTATTCGATTTATGACCGAGTCCAATATTTGAAGATTCATAAATAAAAACTAATAAAAAGTACCAATAGAAAGAAGAAATTGTCATGTGCATTTTGACTTTATAGTATTACCATTCTTCCATTGCAATGGAATTCATTTGTGTTTTGTTTTGTTTCGTTTTGTTTCGTTTCAATTTTCAAATCATACCTCTGCAGTTATATATAAATATCATTCTCCATTTTTTCATTCGCTTCTGCTGCAAAACAAAAGCAAAGGGAAAAAAATTGGCTCGCATCAAATAAACGAGAGCAACTGACAATACAACAAGTGCACACAATGCACGTACGTGAACTCTTCGTAAAATATCAAACCAAAAATAGAGAACGTTTAACAAAAGTTTCCACTTTTCATGTAATATCAATTGGATAGCACAGCATCCATTTCCCGCAGCCGAACATAAAAGCCAGAAGCGACGTACAGCAAGAAGTAAATAAATGGAGAGAGAGAGTGAGAGGAAGAAAGAATAGAAGAGTGGGAGGGAACGAGAAAGAGAGAAAAATGAATGCACAGATACCACAGCTAAATTGCAAAAGGATCAAAAAGAAATGTAACGAAGCTTAGCCTTCTCGACTACCCAACAGTAGAAAAAAACATAGTGGAAAGCTATGATATCGCATTGCTGCACTGCTAACAATTTTCAATATCTGTGTAACATCCGTTTTTTTCCTTTCTTCCTCTCTCTCTCTCTCTCTCTCTCTCCCATTCTCCATCCACACTCCATGCACTTTTTCCAACCACTTTCTATTTATTCAGTTCTCGTTGTCGCTTTTTTGTCCCCACCGAGCGCTGACTTTGTGTGAGCACTTGTTCGTGTATGTGTGTGAATGTGCCAAATATGTGTGTGATCAGATATAACCTCATTTTTATTGTGACAAGTTTTTTTTCCCCAACAAAGTTCTGAACTGTGAGGTAAAATCTGCAGGGCGAATGAGTGTAGGATGATGCATTGAAACAACGAGAATTTAAAAAAAAAATCACAAAAAAAAGAACAACGGATTTCAAAATTTCATGACATTTTTCTCTCTCTCTCGCAAAACTTCACTTTTAATTCTATTTACTTTCAACTTTTTTAACTGCTGTTTTTCTGTTGTTGTTGCAGTTGCATTCCCTTCGCTATTCAACGCATAACAACAACAACAACAACATCAAATTATATATAGTGTAGGGAAAAAAGGAACAAAGAAAGCGTTATACGCACACAAACACTAAAGCTTTGGCAGAGTAAAAAAAGGAAATGTTACTCGCGCTTTCACATGATTGCATCTGAAATCCTTTTGGCAAATGGATAATTTTTTTTCCACTCTATCTCTCCCTCTCCCTTTCTCTTTGTGTGTAACAGAGGTATGGAAAAACGTGGAAAGGGAGAGAGAATAAAAAAAAGACATCGAATGAGCTTTATTCAGCTTGAAATGTAAACGCGATGATATTTGCAAGCTTCATATACGAGATGCGATAGCAGCACTGCAATCGTGTTTTATTTACACTCGATCCCGTTCTCCTTGATTATCACATATACAATGCACTTGCTTTTGCACTGCATCACCCACCACTGCCACTACCACCCCTACCATTGCTATACGCAGAGCTACATTTTAGCTGAACATAATCAGTGCACAGTTTCCCTCACGCCAATCAACCATTGTAAGCGGTACACAGTTCACGTTCCGAGCAAAAGATGAGAAAACGACGAACGATGTAAAGCGGAAACAACAATGACGATTGTTATTGCCACTGCTGCCACTCTGGTATGGCACACTGGGAGCATGATGTGCTACCATATTTCCAAACCGACCGACCCACCAACCAACCAAACGACCGACCGACCGACCGATCACTGTTTAGTTCCATCTCATGGAATAGTTTTATGTACGGAAAATGCCGTAGTTTACTCCCTTGTCACCCAACCGAATGTAGAACAGAAGAGAAAAAAAACAACAGCGACACAAAAAGAAATATGGAGAGCAACAGTAGATTGAATTTTGAATTCCGATTCGTTTTATTTCATTCGGTTGATGTTTCGAGTTTTCATTCCAATGTGAAATTATGTACAGTGTTCAGTGTTCGCTCTCTTTTCCGTTTGCATCCTTCATCATTTTCGCATTCGCCACAATGCAATGTTGCAAATTTGAAAAGTTATGTCGAGTGTGTGCGGGTAAATAAACAAACTGAGTGAGTGGCAGTGGAATGGTGTGGCATAGCCAAAGAGTAATGTCTGAAAACCATTTTACAAGCCATTTCAAAACCACTTTTCCATTTTTCGTGCGCTCACTCTTTCTCTCTTCGCCATATTTTTCTCGACGAAGTTTACACAGTGCAATCGTTGATTGTACAATGTACATACGTACGAGATGCTCCACAGCATCAATGAGTGAAAACAACTCATTTGGCCAACGAGCAAAAGAAAACTTGAACAAAGAGAGTGGAAAAAAGGAGAAAGAAACACACACACACAAAGTATGAATGGCAAACGTTGCAAAGGCATTCATTATATTCGTCGCATATTTATCACACTTTTCTATTCCAAGTGCAATCCGTATCTATTGTACCATATTGCTTTCAAAATACTTTCTTTTTTTTGCCCTACCATATCAACCAATATGCTGTACCCGATAGTGCAGGTACTTCGACGTCTGCAACCACACACATACACACACAATGGCGCCGCGTTGGAAAATGGATGAATGGCATATTTAAGTGTTTTGAATTGCAATGGGATGAAACAAGGGCATTTTTACCATTCTTCTACTTTGAATCCAAAGAACAGAGAATTTTCTGTTGCCACTTCTCCTTCGGCACACTACTTAAGTAGAGTATAATGCACACATGATTAAAGCATGACATACTGTTCGTTGCATTTAAGTTTCCTAGTCTTAGTAAAGTATCTGCGTAGTGTGAGTTGAGGAGAAGCGGAAAAGAAATGAAAAAGAAAAGAAAAATAGAGAGAAAGTCATTTAACTACATCAACAAGCAACGAAGGAATAAAGTCGCGAGCTTTCATGTGTGAACTTTGATGAATGTTGGCATAGTCGAGAGTTGGGGAAGTTCAACGATAGTTAAGCCCTTAACAATATGGCAATGTAGATTATGGAACATAAGAAACACAAGCATTATTAATCTCTTCCATTTTGGGTACTCGCACAATGTAAATGTGCAACTTGAAATACATGAAATATCAAAGAAAACAGTAGAAACATTTGCTAGAATCAACTTATGCTCCCATTTTTTTGTTGCCTCTGCTTTTGCTACATTACTCTGCGTTGCATACATCGCTTCGTTTCCTATATGAACAACCAATGCGATTTTTTTTTGGGTCTCTGATTTGCCGTACGTATGTACCATTCAACGAATGAAGTGGTATGAAGTAACCGAGAACGTTTGCGGTAATCCAACGTTTTTTATGTAGTACAAGACGATAAAAGTTTTGTGCAAATGGAAAATGGAGAGAATACGCTTGAGAGATGGAGAAAAATTGTTTATCCAAAAATGCAAGTCAAGTATTGTATATAGGTCATGCTGGAACATTTCTAGCACGTTTGCATATTTTGTGGAAATTTTGAATCATATATTCGCTGAAGCACTACAATCGAATAAAAACTTTTAAATGAACAAGCATACACACATTGAGAGAGTCGCAGAAAAACACGAAGTGAAAATAAAACTGTTGAAAGCAAATGGTTCTAAGAAAACCAATCCACTCACTCATTTTGTAACAATGAAATCTAATTTGTTCATTTTTGTTTTGGTTACAGGGCCCGCCACAGCAAGGACCAATTAAGTTCACAATTGCCGACACCCTAGAACGAATAAAAGAGGAATTTAATTTTCTCCAACAACAGTATCACACGTGAGTAATACCGCCACATTTATTTATGGCGGGTGTCTCGTTGACGAGGCGGTTCTGTTAATTTATATATCGTTTGGTTTTTTTTTCTACATGTTTGCAGATTGAAACTAGAGTGTGAAAAACTAACAAATGATAAAACCGAAATGCAAAGGCATTATGTGATGGTAAGTAACTTTTTTATTCCGTGTTTACGTTTCTTCTCCGTAAAGTAATTAATTTTCAAATGCAATACGTTTTTTTCCCTCACGAGCGAAAAAGATAAATCAACTTAACGGTGAGGTTCACATTGCAATTGTTAAAGCAGTTAGTGGCTCACTTTTCCGACTATAATCCCATTGCTCAGGCAACAAATTTGCTCCGTCGCTGTTTTCGTAACAAAACTTTTTAATTAGTTTATTAGTTGGTTTAATTAGCCATTTGAGGAATTTGCTTAAATGCTTCAAGATGAGTAATCGGATACTTCATATCGAAGCCATGTTTATTCCCTAATTTCTAATTTTTTTTTTTTCACTTTTGGTCTTCATTTAAATTTGAAACCTGAACGGTCTTCACACTGCAGATGATGTTCAACATTATTTAAAGCTAAATGATGTGCAGTAGTTTTATTGTTGCTAAGTGAAAAATGTGGTTAAATGATTTTTGAAATGATACATATTATGCGGGTTGTGTCAATTAAACGAAGGGATCTATCAATTCAAACGTCATCCAGTGGATGAGTTGAAAAAGAACATTCGATTGATTTCATTTCGATCTGAATTCCCACATCCCGAATAAATGCGTCTGCATGTCAAAAATGAACGAAACGTGTCAAAGTGAAATTCCACACGAGAAAATTGAACGAAAAAGAAGAAATTGGCTTGATAGACGGTATTCGATATTGTTAAATTCCACTTCGAGTGGGTGCATAGTAAAATGAAGCCACACGAACGTCATGATTTGGAAATCACAATCGTTTTCGATCACATTTCGTTCGAACGGAATTTTAAAGCTGCCATGAAACAAAGACTCCACATCGTCTGGCGGGAATATGTGGTCTTATCATGCAAAACCACATAGAAAATACGATGCCATTGATTTGCAGTCAAGTTGCGAGTGTTCATTCAACATCAAATACCACTATCGGAAAATTTAGAATCCCAAATACGTTTACATTAAACGGCATCACTGAAAAATTGGTACCTTTCGTCCCAACGGTGTGGTTGTGGCAATGGTGTACGTTGAATTTGTTTGGAGTTTCCATTTGATAGCTGTGTCCGTGCTCATTTGCAACATGTACACATGCGAAAAATGACTTCATTATCTCTGATTTTGGCTTTTGCGAAAATTTCATATGATCAAGCTGTGATAAAAATTGAGGTAGCCAAACTAAATTATCATTCGTAATGATAAATGCGGAGGATGAGTGTGTGAATGTCACTTCTGCTTACAACCAACATTTTCTCCCATTGCATACGAATGGGCCGAATGTGTGGATTGTTGTTCTGAAGCGTGAAAATGTAAAAGCATTGCCAACTAAAATAAAAACTCACATGGCTCAGTCTCACTTTCTCACCCAGTGAGAATGGAAGGTTAGATGAACTGCGACAGGTTTAAACTACAGTAACATTTTTGAATGTTGGCACAAGAGATACCTTACTGACACTCAATTATATTTAGTTCAGTAATCAACGTCGCAACAACCAAGCTCACATCTAAATACAACACACAGGTAGACACATGTACACTTGGTATGGATAAAATGTATATAGACATTGTGCGTTGTATCATGCACTTTGTTTGCTTCATAAACATGTTTGTCGACGTTTTCCGTTCCGTAATGGAACTGTACAAATAAGCCATAAGCCTTTTTACGTTCAATCATTCAAAGTTGCTCGTTGCAATGCACACAAATAAAATGGACGAAAACACATCCAGCCCACACCTCACTTGCTCGCTGGCTCGCTTTTACGTGCGCGCACTTACCTCTCTGCTTTTCACAACATGAAACACAAATCGTTAAATAACGTTTCAAGCGTAAGCAAAGCTTTCATGCATTCAATCGTGTCAATTGGCTCAGTTGGCACCGATTCAATATTTAATTCGATATCGAAAAGACAGCTTTTGCTGTACATGGCATTTAAACATCATTCTACCATTCAGAATCCCAGATTTTAATACCGGAATACATTCTGTTCATTTTTCTCCTTCTTCTTCTCTATCTGTTGGGAATGTAATAAGATTTGTATGGACGTTTTGTTCAATGCTATACAACGACACTACGCAAACTGCTTGTTCCATTGAATAAAAGCTATAATTTTCAAACATGAGTGGTTGGTTCAGATAAAAGCTTTGTAATTACTTCAATCGATAGCGATTATAATAATTTCATACATTCAACATTGTATAAAGGCGAACTGAGTGGCGGTGGTGGCGTTGACGGCGACGACGATAATTTGCGACAGGGAATTTTCAATGAGTGGAAAATTATGAAATACTAACCATATGTGCAGATATGTGGTTAATTTGCGACCACTTGAAAATGCTCAAACGCTTCCAGCCACATCAATATGAGCGCAATTCACCAACTTAAAATATTCACACACATAATTTGCGCTCTTGATTCAATTTAAAAAGTCAGTTGCAGCCAGCCGAATATATTGACCGGGTGTTTTCCTTCCTTCCACTGTAAATCGATAGCCGAAGAGGGTTCCTTTCATTCACAATTAGTCAGAACTTTGAATTCCATAGAATTCCACCCAAGAGAACCGCTCGGCTGTAAATAATAATAAAATATTCAAATTACTATTTGAACGGTTTTAATTAAAATTAATTAAATAAATAAATTGATTTTACAGAGGAGGTCAAGTGAATTCTATCTTTTGTGATTCGAATATTAAATGCCATAAATCGATGACCGAAATATGCCTGCAGCAACATAATTTGGTCGGTATGAAGCGATTTCGGCTATGAAAGTCGTTTGAAGTGAAATTAATTGTATTTATAATAAATATTGAAACTGGATCGATTTCAATGGAATTAATATTTAAACGACGTGTAACAAAGACAATCCACAAACAGTGGTAACTGTGCTGACAGCATTTACATTAAATGCTCATTTTTCTTCCAATGAAATATGTCCCATTAACAAAGTCGGTATAAGCTTTGTAGAAGAAAAAAAATAACAAGGGGCCGCAAAAGCCGTAGAGCAATTGAATTATTCATTAATTTAATTCTAGTTATAAGAAGTGCTTGAAAGTATAACTCATGAACTGTAACAGTTCAAGTGTAATAAAATTGGGGAGTGATTCATCAGATGTTACTACACAATTTCGACATTATATTCCATTTTGTACATACGGCACAGATACTTGAGACAACAGCATATATATTTTTGCATATTTTCAAATGAACTTTATAATTAGATTTTCCCTTTTTCGAATATTTGCATTCATTATATTGTTATGAAGTTGCAGCATATTTGAACTGGTCTGTATATAAAACATGATTGGCTTTCAAAGATTTAAATGACAATGGGATGGTGAACGTCAAGTGAATCTTAAGTAAATAGACAAATTTTCGGGGTGAACACGTAGTAAAACAATAAAACCAAAAACTGTTGCCAAACGAATTTTCACGTGAATGAACGTGCATCAAAATATGGAGGAACTTCAACTAAATCCGGTTATTCGACGGGAATTTGTTGAAGCATAAAGTTTTGTAACAACATTTGCTTCTGGTGTTCATTCGCTTCTGGCCGGATAACGGGAAATTTGTGGGAAAACATGCAAAAATGGAATTGGAAGGAGAGAAAATTGCTGAGAAAGCTATGTGATTAATGTTCGAAGAATATTTATGGAGCGATTAGCAGAAATGAACCCTCTTTCCCATCATCAAAACGGTTAATTCGAAAACAATCATGCGAATAAATTAATGACATGTCATGTCAGAATGACAATCATTGAGCGATTTTAGGCTATCATAACAATCGATTAATCAGATCGTCATATTTACAGCCATTTTTAGTCGACAGCTTACATTTATTGATTTGGCCTTTGCCATGCAAATGTAACATACACTTAAAATCTAGTTAGAAATACATTTGTCAAAGTTTCGAAACACTTAACGGCAGCAATGTATTGGAATGTTTTGCTTTGTGTGTGTGTGGGTATATATGTTCATTATGAGCTTAGTGGAGACAGTCGAAGAGGTGTAAATGTCTTGCTTCGGAATAATCTATTGGCGACAACAAGACTAAGTGGAAAATTTGAATAAATCTCATTTTTATAGCTTCAGTCTACATTTTTTTTTCTTCTTCTCCTTCTTTTTCTGTATTCGCATATGGCAGGGGAATTGTGTAAGCTTGCGCGTTGAATTGCCCTCACCACTTGGGGCTTCAACAACTTGTGTTTAACTTATTACAAGGGATTCTCAATATGTTCTATGTTACATGGAGTGAATACACATTTATATTGCGTTACTACATAGTGTCGAATGTTTGTTATCTGGCCCAACTGAACAAGGCTTACTCTTCGACTTCTTCGAGAGGCTGCACACATACACACACACACACACACGGCTCATTTGATTAGGCAGTACGGCAGAGTCATATTCCATTCGGTGCACACTCCACACGCACTCACTTTAACATTCAGTTGGAAAATTATCTCATTATTATTACTAATGTGCGGCTTTCACACAACCTTTTGACTTGTCGCCTCACACTTTCGGTTTCATTGCCTAATAATAATAAAATGGATGATTATTATTATCAACTCATGTCGGCTTAACTATAGTTAACTATAGTCTCTCACAGACAGCACTATTGGATAACCCTTGTCCAATTTTCAGCCAATATATCAATCCATCCATATTTTCGGACAACTTCACTCATATTGTCTTATTTTTTGGCCAACCCTACTACTATTATACATACTATTGTACATTTGGCGCTTGGAGGTAAATTAGTATGAAGTTGGCCACAAAATGAGACAATATGAGTGAAGTTGTCCGAAAATATGGATGGATTGTCATATTGTCCGAAAAAGAGACACCTATTGGAAATTTTTCGTATCTGCGTATTTAATGTAATTTTTATTTTACATGCCTTATGCCCAATGCCCATATATCAATCGTGCATATTATTTTAAAATCAATATTATTGGTTCAATAACAATTATTTGTGGTTGATCTAATTAGAAAATTTTGATTTGATCGACCGAAACAGTATTTCTAGCTAGAAATGACATTAATATCCTAATCATAAATAATTCACGTATTTTGAGGCATTTACTGTCTAAAGGCAGAAAGCCAGCGAACGAAAAAAAAAATGGATCATCACCACGTTGTGAGATTCCACACATCAATGAAATACACTCAATGATAAAATACCATTGACGCTACTTATAAATTCACTACACATCACTTTAATACCATACGAAATGGCACGAGCTTACATCGACACAAAATGCTTTATCCGTTTTATAAAAGCGATGAACAGTGTTCCATTTTTTTTCTCCACTCTCAAACCAATTTCAAGGGAAACACAGCAGACATACAGAGTGAAAAACGTTCGCTATTTTTTTTTGTTCATCCACATTTCACTATGTACCCATACAAAGGAAAAACATCACGTTTATCTATTGAATTAACCATCAATGAACGTTTTTATCTTTAATGCATTTTCGTGCTATTCAAGCTGTATTTGTTGTTGTTGTTTGTTTGTTCGAAATCCCGATGAAATCACATTTGATGAACATATGTACACGTTTGATGCATACATAAAATAATCCTGATGTTGTCAAAGCGAGTGAAAAGGATGTGTGTGTGTGTGTGTCTGTTTTTTTTCTCGGTTGAAGCATAGAAAAACATAGACACTCGGAATCCAAAAAAAAGCTTGGCATAATCTCGTGATTGTTGTGTGCGTGTGTGAGTGTGAATTTTGAATGATAGAAGAGAAAATTGAGGAGGGAAAAAATCGCTCTTCCGACGAAATTGTGTTGACAGTCACCAACAACAACAAAAAAGATGGAAAACGTTAGTGATGTGTATGAGCAATCATAAAAGCAATTTTATTTATTAAGCTGTTCCAAACGCATTTATTTGTAACAAAGCCCTTGGTTTCATTGATAAAAGTGGGACAGGCAGCAAAAAAGCCAAAATAAACATATATAGACAATAATGGCTGCGTAAATATTTAATAGCCATATTTTGATGTTGAATTTTTTTTTCCCTCCATCTCGAGTTTTTCAAATGATTTTTCACAAGTCCTAAAAAAATAATCAATACCATTGAAACAAAATCATTTTAAACATCTATTTACTAAATAATTTTTTATCATTTTTACAGTACTACGAAATGTCGTATGGCCTTAACGTGGAGATGCACAAACAAGTAAGTGAAAAAAAAGTTTTTTCTTTGCTTTTCTTCCGGTTTTTCTTCATTCAAATTGAGGCAGAAGTTATTCGAATCTTAAAATAAAACACCAGATTTATGGTTTTGAACGATTGCCAAATTGTCGGAAAATGTGGGATTTGAGAAAATAGATAAGAAAAAAAAGAACGAGGGATGATAAAGACAATGATCAATAAAATGATGAAAATTTTCGAGCTATGTGTATCTTATTTGGCTTTGAAATATTTATGACTGTAACATTATTATTATTGACATTTTTTCCCATTGCTATTTTTCATATACATCTCGCTGAAGAAGATACAAATCAAATTTTATTGACATTCTCAGTCGAGAATTCCATGCCAAATACATAAGCTTTATATAGATTGTATACACCACCTACGGATGAAAAACCGCCTTGATTCTTTGCCTGATCAGTTTTGTTTCCGCTTACTTTGTTTTGTTTCACAATATGTTCACCGTACTGCGGGCACGGCGATGAAATGACAACAACAATAACACGTATTTCCAATGTAAACATAAGACGAGCTCTAATGACACGACGCTTGTGGTGATAGTTGAAGATTTCAATCACATAAGCGTATGCAAGGCCGATAATCAAGTAGCCTTTCGCGCAAACCGTATAAATCCTATGCTAGCGTGTCTGTATTTTGTGTATATATTGACCGCTCAACGTATGTTGTGTGTATGACCACTAGAGGCAGGTCAAATGTTGTCGTCAGTATGGATTTCATAGCCGCGACTGCGGGTGTGAGAACACGGAGGCATTGGTGGTGTATTCAACTCATTGTGGGACAAATCAATTCAATCGTCATTCCACCTCGTTGGTTGTTTGATTAGTAATTTTGTTGCAATCCATAGTACAGCCAAGATCGCTTAATAAACGAATAAAAACGACACGCAGCCCTCTAGGCGAGGGACACTCAAAACAGTCATCGTACATACATTGAGCGGTCACTATCGATGCGTTCATTTGTGTGAGTGCGATTGTGTAAACGACAATTTTCGTGTTTAATATATGTACGATGACAGCTTTGAGCATTCCACGCGTAGGGGCGTCTTAGCGTCTTACGTCAAACCTTTCCCATGTATTTGTCGTCAAACCTTTCCCATTTATGTACGAAGAAAGCGACAATGGTACAGCATTCGAAATAGAATTGTAATCAATAACAATTTATTGATATGGAATTCTTATAGCCGACAATCGATTTCATCGCGCTTGCATACACACCCACATATACACACATATCATACAGTCATGTTGTTTGCTCAGCAGTCGAGAGGGATATTCGTCTTATTTGCGACCGAACAGCATATCATATTGGAGAATGAAATGCGTATCGAATCGAGCGTGTGTACGACGAGATTTGATTGCTCAACCAAACCGATTGTGAATGTATCAGCAAAATACGACAGCGATTTTCATGTCAGACAATGGCACAAAGTGGCAAATGGCTTGATGTTTGCTTTTTTTGGCGCTGTGCGCGTGCGATCCAACAAACTTGCAAACATTATTCCGATTTGAATTGTATTCATACCATGCGCTGGTCTAGTCCTTTCCATTTTATTTACTTTGAGTTTTTTTTCTGCTTCTGTATTTATCTGATTTTCATCCACATCAACCCTTTACTGCGGTTTACATATACAGCACAGTTTTATGCGCATTTCTCCCTCTGGATTTGCTGGAGCCTTTTCGGGTTTTTGTTTTCCCTTCTTTTTGCACCGTTTTGTGCAAATATTCTGATGCGCTCGGAAATGGTGAAAGGAAAATCATCAAGTTTAACACTGGAGTCGAATGTTATTTATTACTTTGTACGTTGTTTTCATCTCGTTTCGTCCTCTTCGGTTTGATTTTATCCACATTTTGCTTATTACAGTTTGCTGAATAGCTTGGAAAATTGTTTTTCTGCAAACGTCAAATCAAAATCAAAATAATTTAACCGAATTTACGTTGACCTGGAAAAGTCGAATATGTGATACTATTAAGGCTGAATGTGTAGCATCTTTTTGTTCTTACTTTAGTCACTGTGTGAACAAAAGTCCATTCTCAGCATTTGTTTATCACGGCAAATCAAAAGAAGAAGAAAAAGTCGAAAAGAGCAAAAGTTTTCGTGAAAATCCAAGTGTTGTTAAAACTTAAATCGAAATTTTCTGAATTCATATTTATTTGGAGCATTGAAGTTTCCTGATTTCATTATACCAGCTGCTGTTATTGTTGTTTTTTCGTTCATTCACCGCAATGAACGTGGTTCTAGATGCGGTGAAAATGTTCTTATGTTAACCTACTCTGTACAAAACGTTGCAATATTGCATGCATGTATGAAAGGCATTTGGCACCGAAATGCTCACCCACATTTTTATTTTGTGTGTGTGTGTGTGTGTGGGCCAACACAACAAAAGGAGAAAATCCATTTTTGCCATTTCACACGCGCGCACACAACAATGTGTAGACGTCAAATCGAAATCAAATAGACTGTAGCAAACTTTATCAAACCCCATGAGCATAGTTTATATATGTATAGGAACTCAACCATCGTATTTCACAATGATACTCGATTTTATCACTGTACACAGCATACAAAGACACATACAGATACGAGTGAATAAAAGAAAAGAAGACATATATAAAGAAGTACGAAGAAAAGAACAAAACGAAACGGGAAAAGGAAATACAATTTAAGCATGAGTGCACAGATTCAAATGGAGAACGAATGGGAAGACGATGAATTTTCATCTTATGTGCATTTGGCCTGCAAAGCGAATAAAATCGTCTTGTTTGCTATCTCGATTGAAATTGTGGGCGAGCGGGACAAGCGGCAGCGGCGGCGGTGGTAATGGCATATGATGATGGGAAGGGTGAATATTTTCTTCCATTTCATCCAAAATCGCATACCGATGTTGAATTGTGACGAACATGATACATGTACGGTTCATGTGTTGTTGCGTTGCTTTTCATGATTTTTGTGTTTGTTCAAAGTATCTGTACGAGTTGGTGCATACTTCATTTTTGCACACTTGGTCGGTGTGCATGTTCTTTTCCGGGCCTATTTGACTATGATACCTTCGTGGTTCATAGAAGATGTTCTTTACGTTTCTCCGTTGTGTTCCCTTCTTCACTTCTCCTATTTTTTCACATATCTTTTCACTTCATAGAGGGATAAGCGCGTGCAGATTTTCAAGCATACTAGATTCACATATGCCAGTGCCATTCACCGCCCCATAATAGACGTTTCAATAGATGTGCTACATTGTAGACAAGCCAAATGTGTTGAATAAATTTTTCACGACTTCTCTTATCTACGAACAACCATTCCCGTGAATTTGTCAAGTAAACAAGAAAGATCGGTTTGCAGGTCAAAAAGCTTGAAGTATTAAAGTAGAACTGATGGAGACTTAGATACCTGCTCAAATCACATCATGTGTTTTTTCGTCCTCTTGTTCCAAAGTAAATGTCTGGTCTTTTTTAAACGCTTTAATTGGATTCGTTTTTCTTTCTCTTCTTTAGACGGAAATAGCGAAGCGTTTGAGTGCATTGATAAATCAACTCCTTCCCTGTTTGCAACCAGAACATCAGCAATCCGTGCTACAAGCTGTTGAACGAGCCAAACAAGTTACAATGCCTGAACTGAATGCAATCATTGGCGTAAGTGTTACTTGATTTTTGTTTTTGTTTTTCGTGGCTAGAAAGATAAAGGTATTTGCCAAGTCGTGGTACTATTCGTTGAGAGTATTTTATTTATTGCGAAATTATGCTTAGGGCAAACGAAATTAGAGGTAGTTAACTGATTAGAATTTGAGTAATATTGTCATTAGTTTGATGGTGATGGTTTCGTTTTTGGAGAAAAAAAAAACTTTTGATTTTTTTAAATTTGCAAATGAGTTGATTTTATTTAAATAATTCTGAATTGGCCCTTACAATTGAATAACAGTAGTTGTGCTCGGAGTTTTTTTGCTTTCTTTATTTAGTTTTTTTTCGTATATGGAATATGGAATTAGAATGAATATACTTGATAAAATTTGAAATAGAAACGAATATCTAAATTTCGGACAACAATTAAAATTCAACAGAAAACAAATAGACTTCCTGTAATTATTGCAAAAATTTACGGTTTTTCTTTTTTCTCCCATTCTACTTTACCACACACGCACACAAACACGCATACAAATACAAAACAAATGCGTTTAAAATAAATACAGCAACAGCATCCAGCAATCCAGCAATTGATCGTAAGTTCGTAAAACGTGCTACTGATTTTGATGATAACCAATTGCACACGCTCGCGCATTTGTGTTTATTTTTCATTTCGTTCACATCATCATTATCGTCGTCATCATTATTGCTTTGGTTGTGTTCACACACAACGACAAAAATAAATCTCATTTCTTTGTTTTGCCATCATTGCTTTTCGTTGTTGCTTCACTTCTATGATGTACAAATCCTTTTCCACCTATTTTATTTAACTGTAAAAAATGTAATCTCCAAATGACGTTTGTTTATAAAATGCATGCATCGTTCTTTTTTGTTTACATTTCACATTGTAATCTGTTGCTTACAAATTAAATATTAATTGGTTTATGTATTTTTTTTTCAATACTAACTGCTTGCTTTACATTAAGCTAAAGGGCTAATCATTTTATCATTCGTTTTTTTTTCATCAATTCCAAATAAAACACTGTATTTGTCATGATGTTCTTGTTTTATCTCTCCATTTTCAATCATTTAATTCTTCTTTTTTTCGTTTTCCACACAATTCAACAGCAACAAATGCACGCTCAACAAATACCATTAACACCGCATCCGATACCAACACTGGCCGGATCGTTGGGTTCATTTGCTGGACCAATGGGTTTGCCACATGGCCCACAGGCATTACTGAAGGTACCACAAGATTTACACAGAGAAGACATCAAAGTACCGTTGGGTGGACCATCGGCCGAAGAACGATTGGTAAATATTTATTCAAAAAATTGCTTGTTTGATTTTCACTGAAAATAAAACCCGTTAAATTTTCCAGCGTAATTCCGTTTCACCAGCCGAACGTGAAAAGTATCGGCCACGATCTCCGGTCGAGGTTGAAGACAGTAAACGACGCAAAGAGGACAAATTAACCAACGTAAGTACAAAGATCAATGTTCGTTTTTTAAAACAAATGCTTTGGCATTTTATGACATTTTTTCTCTATCTCTCTTTTGTTTCGATGAGTGAAAAAGAAAAATCAAATCGCGGTTTTCAAATTTAGAATTTAAACTTAAATTAGAGCTTGACTAATGAAATGAGAAAAAAATAGAACAAACAAAACACAAAATAAGTCGATAATTGCATTTGTTTTTTTAGTTAAAATTTAAGTTGCCCTTGTTTCGATACTTTACATTCGGTTATTTCATTTTTCCTTGTTTTTGTTCCATTTTTTTTTTAATTTTTGGAATATCGGAAATAATCCAGGAGAGTGATGGAGAGAAAAGCGACCAGGATTTAGTTGTGGATGTAGCAAATGAAATGGTAAGTATTGTATCGCTAAAAAAAACACAATCAGAAAACAACACAATCAAAACAAAAATCGAACAGTTAATTGAATAAGAGCATTAAAATGCAACTAAGACTCATCTCTCCATTTCTGTCTATGTTCGCCATCATTTTTTTGGTTTTATTTTTCTTTGCTTACTTTTCATTTTCTACATCTTCATTTTCATTGCGTTTCTGTCAGATCAACATAGCGAAAATGTGCAATTAATTTGCAACAAAAAATCATGTTTATAAGAAAATGTTAACTGTTTTTTTTAATGAATGATATGCCATAGAATTTTTCCAATAATGCCGATTGTTTGATTTTTATTAAAGGAATCCCCATCGCCACGTGCAAACGGTGATCATGCAGTAGATTCTCGCGACAGCATTGGACTAAATGGAAATGACAAACCCGGCGGTAGCAGCTCAAAGCCTTCTGCTGAAAGACCGCCATCCCGTTCTGGATCCAGTTCATCACGTTCAACACCTAGTTTAAAAACCAAGGATGTAAGCAATCTGTAATGTGTGGGCTATTTCCAATGCAACGAAGACTAATTTAAAATTGTACACGTTTATTTTAGCTGGATAAGCCAGGAACGCCAGGTGCAAAAGCTCGATCAACAACACCGAATGCAGGCAGCGCTTCAGCTGGATCAAAAGGTGGCGTTCCACCGGTACCAGTTGGATATCCATCACCGTACCAACGACTACCAGATCCATACCGACCACCGGCAGAATATGGCAGAGCATTTGATCCACACGGCCATGTTCGCACAAATGGCTTGCCACTTACAGCACCACATCCAGCCGGAGGAAAACCGTAAGTAGCATCCACTATCGGGGGGAGCGGAACGAGATTTCTTAAATGTTTATTCTTTGTTTTTTAGAGCGTATTCATTTCACATGAACGGCGAAGGAACAATGCAGCCAGTGCCATTTCCAGCAGATGCGTTGAGTGGCCCAGGTATCCCGCGACATGCCCGTCAAATAAATGCATTGTCACATGGTGAAGTTGTGTGCGCTGTTACCATATCGAATCCAACGAAATATGTTTATACCGGTGGCAAAGGCTGTGTCAAAGTCTGGGATATTTCACAACCGGGAAATAAGAGTCCAGTCAGTCAGCTCGACTGCTTGGTAAGTGTTAGTATTGAATATACACTTCATTCGGATATTTGCAAACACAACGGTAAAACGGTTCTTAATTGATTTCCCTTTTTCGTTCACATTCCTTTAGCAACGAGACAACTACATTCGATCTGTTAAACTTCTACCTGACGGCCGTACATTGATCGTTGGTGGTATGTATCAAGAAAATTATTGTTATTTTGCAATTTACGTATGAATTAACCATGATGTACAATTTCTCAATTACAAGGTGAAGCATCGAACCTCTCAATTTGGGATTTGGCATCGCCGACGCCGCGAATCAAAGCCGAACTTACATCATCGGCACCCGCGTGTTACGCTTTGGCAATCAGTCCCGATTCAAAAGTATGCTTCTCATGTTGCAGTGACGGGCACATTGCCGTTTGGGATTTACACAACCAAGCATTGGTACGACAATTCCAAGGACACACCGATGGTGCATCCTGCATCGATATCAGCCCAGATGGTAATCGCCTATGGACTGGCGGTTTGGATAACACAGTTCGTTCATGGGACTTGCGAGAGGGTCGCCAATTGCAGCAACATGATTTCAGTTCGCAAATCTTTTCACTTGGATACTGTCCGACTGGTATGTACACATTTTGCAAGCGGATATAATAATCGACGCAAAATATCGAAAACCAAATCTAAATTTAATTTTAATTTAACCGTAAACAGGTGATTGGTTAGCTGTTGGAATGGAAAATTCACATGTAGAAGTGTTGCATGCCAACAAACCCGACAAATACCAATTACTATTACACGAAAGCTGTGTACTTTCATTACGCTTCGCCACCTGTGGCAAATGGTTCGTTTCAACTGGTAAAGATAATTTGCTGAATGCCTGGCGAACACCGTACGGCGCCAGTATATTCCAGGTAATTTTCCATTTTAAATGCTTTCACACTTCAATTGTTCAATAATTAACGGATTTCATTTCGCTTCCTCTAATTCTAATCCAAAAATAGTCGAAGGAAACGTCATCGGTGCTCAGTTGCGATATATCAGCCGACGATAAATACATTGTAACGGGATCAGGTGACAAAAAGGCTACCGTCTACGAGGTTATCTACTAGACGTCTACTAAAACCACTTCAATGGTTTCTTATTCTCATTCTTTCGTATTCAATTCGGCATAAGAAGAGAACGACTTTCCTGAATCAAAACGATGTAGAAAAAAAATACCGAAGCAAAGTCCGGAACCAATACGAATTGTAAAAAAAATTTTTTAAGTTCAATGAAATAAAGAAAGAAGGAAAAAGAAAATAAACAGATGAAATTCAATGAATTCAAATGTAGAATTTATCGCAAAGAATTGTAGAAATTAAAACCAAAATTACTTTAAAAAATCAACAAAACAAATTTAATAATTGAGAGAATTTCGTGTAATTTTAAACAAAAATTCTATTGTACAATTTTAAAATTAAAACATTTTATGACAGACACTATGTTAATCCTCATATAAAAGAAACAAAAGAATAAAAACACCTGCGATTGGAGCAATGTATAGATCATTTGTTTTTAGATGGTTCAACGCTTCAAGCGTTTGAATATTTCGGCATAGAGAAATAACAAAACATGAAACACAAACACGTATTCAAATGAAATGAAATGTTGAAATTGCTTTTTAGAGAATACAAAAAAAAACAAACCAAACAATTTCATAAAACGAAACTCTAAATGTCTGAAAAGTATAGTTAATAAATGCAATTTTTTTAAATATAAACAGAAAAATAAATCACACACACAGAGAGAGAAAGGCAATTATCAGTAGCATAGAGATGAAACACAGATGTTAAATGTCAATACAAAATCTATACAATATTCTCATTTAAATGTAACAACGTATGTTCGCATTTGAATGTAAATCGTTTACACATTTTTATTGGAATATTCTTTTTTTCTTTCTCAAATGTTGTGCATCTGATCTGGTCCGCGTCTCCCCTTCAAACATTCACTCACTCTCTTTCTCTTTATATAAATAGTTTGTGCAACGAGATAAATGACGAATATTGTCCCAATTTCACTTGAAACAGAGTTGTTTCCTTCTCTAGCATTCTGATTCATCATTTTGAGTGCTGATTACAAGAGAGAGAGAGAGAGAGTGGAATGAAAAACAAATATCACGTAGTTTAGCTTAAATTGGCGCTTCACTTCATTAAATCTATTGATTAAAATAGACATTTTGGGATTTAACAAGTACATGATAGCACCTATATTTTTTGATTATTGAAAAGAAAAAACTAAACAAAACAACAAAAAACGATGATGACGAACGAAACATTGGATTTCAGACAGATTTCATTCGCGCCATTTCATTACTAAATGAAGCATTTTAAAACCTAAAAAGAATAAGAAGAAAAAGATGATAACGGAGGAGAAAAAAACTCATATTTAGCCAATATTTAAGAAGTTAAATGGTAACTAAATCTGAATGTGTATGTTTTATGAATAATAAGATAGACTCGTTTCATTTTGTTTTTGTTTTTTTTTTTTGGATTAGTTGAAATGAACTTGTACACCCTCCTCCCACATTTCGAATAATTCATTCTTAAATAAGTAAATTTCCTTGCAAACTGCTAAATAAGATGCAATTTACAGTGTATATGATTAAGATGGAACAAGATACAGAAAAAAAATGATTAAAACAATTTTAATTGTAAACTCTAAAAACGGAGAAAACAGTTATGAGAATATGTGGAAGAAAATGAAAAACAAATTATTGCAATTCAAAATAAAAACAAAATCCAATGAAAATTTAAAATAAACACCTGTTTTATTTCACCACATTTTACAATTTAGACACCAGTGTAGCCAGTATTAACATTTTTCTTACAGATTTACAAGATAAAAGGTCATTTTCATGGCTACTAATGGACTTAATTCTATGTTTACCGTTATCATTGACTGATTTTCTGTCGTTGTAGACGCTTCAACGAATGAGCATATTGCAATTTGAGCCAGATTCCGTGACACATTTTGTATGTTCGTTCGTCACCCGTCAATCGTTCTTCTTTTGCGAATTCATATTGTTCGAGGACAAGTTTTTTGGCCGCCTTCAATCGTCCCTTCTGTATCAGTGATATGCTGTAATAAAGTTTGCATCGCGCAATGATTGATGGATCACCACTTTTGGATGCCAATTTTAGTTGGTATTCTGATATACGTCCCGCTTTTTCAGCCTAAACAAAACAAAAAACACTCATGACAATTCGAAAAGAGTTTGGAATTTAAATGCAAATTGTGAAACGTACACATTTTTCAAATGAATCGCCCAGAGCAGAGAAGGCACCACCAAGTGTTGAAAGCCACGACATCAGATTCTCGATTTCAACCTTTTCCCATGTTATCCTAAATGCACGCCGACACCTAACAATCACAGTTGAATTTGTTATTTGATTGAATCGCAAAGAACTTTCTAGAAAATATTAGAAAATTTACCAAGCATAATCGATTAGTCCACCATTGATGGGCTCAATGACATAAAAAAGCACCGTTGTTGAGCTTAATTCCTTAAGAAGATTGAATATTCGCCGACGGAATCGATTGAGCAAATTGAACTCCTTCATCACGTACACCAGTTGATTTGGAGTTATACTTTTTGTAATGCCGGTCACATCTTTAATCTCAATTGGTTCGATGTTTGTGCATTTGTTGTGGTGTTTACTTATCGAAAATTTATAACATTGGTCTGGCAGCTTAACATTGAATGAAACTGTTTTCATTTTCCTAATTACTATAAGGTTTTGAATCGTTTAAATCTAATTGTATTTGGTTCTAATACATGAACTCTTATGCTAAACTCTAAATTGGAATCACAATCCGGTTCTGTTTTTGCTGGATATTGTTTTGATCGTGCAAAAATTTTCAGTTTATGTCACATTCCGTCTATGTCAAAATTGAAAAGGCCTTTAATAGCAAAGCGCGGTATAACCTCACTTGTTTTTTTTTTGAAGATGTCATTTCTATTTTATTTGAAGATTTTTTTTCCTGAAATTTAGAAAAAAAATGTGGTCATTTCATTTTTATGGGAAGTATTATGCATAGTGTTCGTAGTGTTTGATTCCAATTAAAAGCCTTCAAAATAAAAAAAAATATTGAATTTCCCTCGTTCCGATGGCTTCACAACGTCTAAAACGCCACGCTGCGGTCTTTCTTTGAACTAAGGTTGACACTTAAATTTTTTAGCATTCCAAACCAAACACAGTGCAGCTGTCATAGATAAATCCGCATAAATAATAGAAATGCTCAACAAATGGCATATTTTGTTGGAATAAGTTGATTTTTGATCAAAATCTCGTAAAATAACACTATTTTTGTACAATTACCCTGCATGGTACTTAGAAACATTACAAGATTACACTAACGAAATGAACAACAAAAAAGACATGGATCCATTGCAATTGTGTCGAATATGTGCGATTGATGTGGCCAATGAGCAGCAAACAGCATCACATCCACTGATTGAAAACAATCAAATCACTGAATTAGGAGCGAAATTTATATCATGTCTGGGTATTCAGGTATATACAATGAATCGTTTTAGATATTAATTATACTTGCTAATGAAATTAATGTGTTTCTTTCGGATCGAACAACAGCTTATGAAGGAAGGCTATCCGGATCGTGTGTGCGACTATTGCCAACTTCAATTGCACACGTTTCATGCTTTTGTGCGGAAAGCAAAGATGACATCGAATCGATTTGAAAGTATGCTACAAGAACTGCGGAAACAAAATAGTGAGGAAGACAATGAACTGAATGACGATGCGGTGCAGATCAGTGACATGTTATCAACAGCAGACATGGATTTTGATATGCAGCAAGACGAAATGAATGAAATACATGAAAATAGTGAGGCAAATGAATCGATTGAAGTGGAATTTCTGGTTGACAAAGCAAAAGTTGAACTCGCAGACGTGAGAGACATTGCTATGCCAGTCAATGGAGATGATGGTATGAACAGACAAAATGGTTCGTTTTTCTATAGTAAGAGTTCATTCTAATTGGTTAATTCATTTTGCAGATGAGTATACGGTTGAGTATTTGGAGTCAGAATATATCGAAGATACATTTGACGATGAAATGGTTGAAAACGAGGAGGAGGACGATGAAGAGCAAGCAGATGATTCAGAGGGGAAGTCTATAAGAAATCAAACCAAAAAAGGGGCAATCAAACGAACATACCCATACAAATGTCCAAAGTGTAATAAACGTTTTGTTTACAAAGAGGTTTACGATGCGCATATTCGTATTCACAAAGGATTGCCCGGTTTTGTGTGTCCACACTGTCCAAAAACATTTAACGAAAAATCAAATTTCGACTATCATATGCAGGATCACACGGGCATTCGACCGGCAAAATGCCATCTTTGTGAAAAGAGCTTTAAAAATAAACAAGACTTGGCTTCCCACATTCGGTGTCACAAGGTAAACGCACGATAAATACACTTTTATTCAACTACCTTTTTGTGTTCAACGTAAACAATGGATTTTTATCAAACATTCCTTCTTCTTTTGCTCCCCAAGGACATTCGCAAGTATATGTGTGATGTTTGTGGCAAACGCTTCCGTTCACAAAGCCATATGACATACCATCGATATGCCCATTTCGAAGCAAGAAATTTTGCCTGTGACCAGTGCGCACAACGATTCAAAAGTCCACACATACTACGAACCCATAAAAATACCGTTCACTCAACCGTATTCCGCTACGAGTGTGAGACTTGTGGCCGTAAATTTAAACGTGATCATCACTTAGTGGTATGCAAAATCGACACTTTTTTTTCTACTCTTGACACTCTCAAAGAAATATGAGACACAATAATGTCTCCGATCTATTCGCGTATCTGCTATTCATATTCTGTTCATGTATCTGAATTGTAGGCACACAGACGAACGCATAACAAACCACCAGGTAAACGGAGCTCACGGAAAAAGAAGGCCGAAAAGAATCCTGCGGCAGCGACATTTCAAATGGTTGAAGTGAAACAAGAGGAAGAATTCGACATCAGCTACGAAGATGACACATACGAAGAAGAGTTCATTACTGATTAAACCTTCCATTTCAATCGACAACGTTATTGATAGGAATTGTACATTTAAAAATGAAAATGGAAAATTAGGAACTAAATATTAAGCACATGTTTTTCATATTTTTGTCAGTTGTTCATCATGATGCGAAAAAACACACACATTTATAATAAATAAATGACTTAAATTGACAGTTTTCTGTGTTTTTCCCTCTCTCTCTCTCTCTCTCTCTCAGCGCAAATGAAAAAGAAGAAGAAAGAAAGAAAGAAAGAATGAGAAAACTGCGTTGTTCTCGAGATTCGATATGATTCAGCGCAAACAAATGCACAGCAATGAAGCTGTTTTTCGCTTGTTGTATGGAATTTCGTGCGTTGGCGGAAGCGAAAATTTATGATGACGCCAAAAAAGAAAAATACTTTCAAAACGCAAATACTTGTAAACAGCTCGCTCGTTTGACGTGAGATCGCGAACCGATAAAAGTTTGATCAAATAGAATCGCCATAACAGTCAAAAGAATATCGATATGATTTAGATTCGTAGCTTCAAATCATAATTTTGGATATTAAAGCGTTGGAGATCGCGTGCCGCATCAAAACGCACAGACAAACAGTTATAAACAAACACATTTGGAAAAATTGTATCTCATCGCGCCAAAAATAGTGACACCACGCTGCTGATGATGTAGACGCCGATGCTTAGGAATGTGCCTCGGTCATTTCGTCACTGACGGAAATTCGCGACGCCGTAAGTGCGTAATAAAACTCGTGACTATTTTCATATAAATGGAACCACTGGCGTCGCTCTGATTTCAGTTGAAAGAAATTTGTTGCAAAATACAGTTGTGAAAGTGTACTACCGAGTAGAGTACAAATTTTTGGAAAAAAAGAAAGAATTATACGTTGAACATAGTGAATAAAATCGATTATTGAAAATGGCTAGCAAACGTCCAATCCGAAGTGGGACACTCGACAATATTCCAGGAATTGGTGATGACTTTCGGCAGATGTATCGTGATTTGAAACGCATGGAAAGTACGACATCCATTATATCGGATATCTCTGAAGAAGAGCTCAAAGTTGATAGCAATACACATGAATGTGTTGAATTGGCAGAACGTTTGCACGGTGTGGATCTAAACGATGCGGATGCAATCTGGTCGAAATTGTCGGAAAGTGAACGTCAGCAAATCGGTCAAGTGATGCAAAAACAAAATATGAACGCCGTATTGCCAACATTTAATCCATGGTGGGAGAATAAAGTGCAACGTATTCAAATTTCGGAAGTTAACGGTGATCACACTGATATCGTCAGTACAGAGCATGAATGGAGAGATTTACAACATCCAAAAATTAAAAAGACTATCGCTGAATTTTCGAAAGTTTCCAAAGAACCGCCAACTAAGGATATCGATGATAATTTGACGAATGTACTTGCTGCCTATACGTCAACTGTGCGATTCTTCTATGGAGAACATTTGAGAAGTGCATACGATGCTGTGAAATATTTAGTTGCAATTTGTTCAAGCTTAAAGTCAAACCCAATCACTTTGGTTGAGCCGAATTTAGCCATTGAAGCTATACGAACGGAAGCAAGAAAAGAGGGTTTAACTATCGAAGATGATGATTTGATACAGATGAAAAAGGATATTTACAGCATCCACGAAGGACCAGATCCCAATTTCAAAACCAATTGCTACATTTTGGCTGCTTTGTCCGACCTCTATCGACTGTTCCAATTGGCTAAATCAAGATCGTCATCGTCGTTGGCGCCCAGAAAGGCATTCGCAACAGCAAACAACACCCTGGAAATAGTTGCACCACAAGATCAAGCCAAAGATCTACGACAATTCATCAGCCGATTTGGTGACTACAAAATTGTCGAATTCATTCCGATGGAGAGAAAAACCATTTGCTCCACAATGAAAAAAGTTGAATACTTCTTGGCCTATGCAAAACAGTTTTTGTCTTATTCTTAAACGAAAAGTTTCATAAATATTTATTTTAATTCTAAAAATTGATAAAAAAATAGGTGAAAAAATTAATTAAAATTATGACCTGTAGTTTGTAAGAAAAATGCGTATTTTTTTGTGATTTTCAATAAAGATTTTTTTATTGTTTTCGTTCAGGTATCAATTGTGGTTTTGTTTTTCTTGTTCCAAAAGTAAAGGTTGCCTATTTTTAGATCTGAAGAATGCAATTCGTAACTTTCGATTCTGTCAACGGAGGAATGTATCTGTTTTCATGGTTTGGATATCAATTTTTGTTCATTTTACGGGAAGATATGTTTTGCTACTGTACTTTTTTGGGTATTTTTGTTCCGAAATTGATTTGAGGTTGATTTTGTTAGAAATTGATAAGAAATTAGTATAAACTGCATATGGAATACTATGATAATGGGTATGAAAAATGATTATTCCGAAAATCTATTGATGAATCGGATTCGTATTGAAATGCACGTAGAATGCAAATCTCAGCAGAATCCATTGTAAAGAAGATTGAAAGTCATTTTGAACAAATTGAATAAAACATTTTAAAATGTATTCCAGATGAGACATGAAACGGAATGTGCTGCAGTTTTTTCTTCGTTATTTTTAATAAATGAAACAGAATCGTCATATAATAACGATGTGTGCTCTACTTCAAAGATGTGCAATGTGCACTTATACGTTTTGAGTTTTTGCTAAATGAAATGCGGTGATTAACTCTATGGTTATTATTATCTTGTGTCTTTTAAGTCTTTATGGCGTATAGAATTGAAACGATAAATCAACGAATATACTTTTTCTCTGTGCTTTTTTGTTGTCTTTCATTATAATAATAATGCATACAAACAGTATATAAATACGAACGTGCTCTAAGAACGAGTATATATATTTTATGTGTAATTTTCCACCACTTTATTATGAAATATTTTCTCGCGTGTTGATCAGTAAATATTGAGCTTTGACAAGAATTGACGACGAAAATAATTTACAGAATTAATAACAAATTCTATAAATATTGCTGCGTGCGTCCAGCAGCCGATGTACTGAATGTATGAAATCATCATGCATAAAATTGAGCCTTGCGTACGTCGCATAACGTGTGTCACACACACACGGTGTGTGTGTGTGTGTGTGTATGCATGATGAGTTCATCATCGGGAACAATGTAACAAAATATTCAGATGCGAAACTGAAATTCATGGTTAATTTTCACACTTCATAAATCATCCTTGTTTTGCTTGAAAATAAATTGGTTTGGTTAGAAAAAATTGGATTTGGTTGATGTCACCCATAATGCGTATAAAATTTTCTATTTTCTACTATATAAACACCATTTTTTTTCCAAAAAAAAGAAGTATGTCACAATATTTGTTCTTTTTTTTTTAAAATAAAACACTTAAAATCAAGAAAATAAGGCATATGGTATTGGATTCCCCTGAAATAAAAGGGACAATACCGATACATAGTTTCAGACATGTTTTTTTCTCGTTTTATTTTTGTAATTGTTTTCAGTTTGTTTTTATGAGGAGAGGGAGTGACTTGAAATCAACGTTCTTTCACTTAATTTTTACTTACAACATTAATTTAGACATTTCAACCAATTGCAAAAGCTCAAAATTCGTCCAATTATTTTTTTTAATCAAAATATTGATTTGAAATCACTCCCAATCGAATCGATCTACAAATAATATCGTTTGTTCACAACGTACACACGAATTAACTAAAATTGTAAGGAGAAAAACATACGTGGTCAAATGCAATGAATGTTTTTTTTCGTTACTCGATTTTATGCGAGTTTTCTTTTTCTCTGAGAGGATGATGTGATGAGTTTGCCTTAATCGTTCGGTACATTCTTCATTTGTGATTTTCTTTAGTCGAAATATATGCCGCATTATTTCGTGGTTAAAAAAAGTCAAGTGAGTCATATGATCTTTTGAACTGAATTCGAATAGAAAAAAATGTGGGATGAGTTGTTGAAGGCAAAAAAATTGGAACAGAACACGTGACAATTAAACTGAAAATAGAATACACATTTTAATTTGGAGATAAAATGTTCAGCCTATTAAAATGTGTGATGCATCACTTGGTTCAAGTATGAACGTTTTACATGAGTCAGTGCTGTGTGTATTTTCATCATCACGGTACAAAATGTGCATATTTCAATGATATATGTATATTATCTTATAATGAAATTCACAAGAAGTGACTTCATTGCTGTTTCGAATGAATTTTCGGCAGGTTTTCATTTCTCTCGTCTAATGGTTAATTCAATGTGGTTGTTGGTGTATGTGTGAATCACTTTTTAACATCACAGTGAATGTTTTGATTTTCGAAGAATGGAATGTGTGATCAAAAATCAGCTGTTTAAAAATGAAATGAGAAATATCAGCTGGATTTTTTTCTGTTCTAGAGGTAGACATATTTGGCATGCAGTCATTCCGCACTCACTTAATTATTATCGAGTTTCCACCGATTTTATTCGGAGTTTTACTATATTTTTTTTGCGTTTGAGTTTGGTTTTGTTCGCAGGTAAAACATTTTTTGGTTTGGAATAACAGGCGAGGAGAAAAGAAATAGCAATAATGACCAAAGCGTGCATCGTACACATTCCAGATTGATTTGGTTTTTGTTTTGCTTATGATGCGGTTGGACATTTTCATTACTAAAATCTAAGAACGGCCCGGAATAGAATCAAACGAGATCTTTAACTGGCGATGAAAGTTCATTTGGGATGAATGTTCAAGCTGTAAACTAATTAGGTTAGCAAAATCAGTTGGCTCGTTTGATTCTACACGGCACTTAACAGTCTATTGCAAACTTAAAACATACAAAAAGCTAAAATAGTCTAAAAGTAAGTCGCAGGAGCGTTTTGTTGAAATAGCAAAGGAAATAGAATTCAATCGTAATACGACCTTAATCGAGAATTTTTGTTCTTAGTTTCGTTGTATAAAATAATTGAACCGTTTTTCGAACGCATGTATGTGTCACGACCACACAATCAGCGATGCTGTGGCGATGGTGTGGCCGACTTGGATGTTAACGGAGGCAACGGCTCAGTTCGTAGTTCCAAGCGTTTTTTTAGCAATTTAAATGTTGTCCTCATCGTTCGCAGTTGATACTGTAATGATGCGGTCATTTCGTGCTGTAATTGCTTCACCTCTTTGATGTCTTTGTGCAAATTTTGGTATTCGTTCTTTACTTCGGTCACCGACTCAAGCACTTCCATCACCGAAACACTGTCCACCACATCATCGTCAAACAACAACGTCTTCTCCACTTGTGTGAGCCGCGTTTGGACCGAATCCAAATGATTGCCGGCACATTGAACCTATTTTTGTATACAAAATACACAAACAATACAATGACATGTGGGGCGATTCCTGATAAATCGATTATTATTCAATGCACACTCGACACTCTCATGCACACATCTAATGATAATGGGAAAATGTTTTAACAAAACAGGAACAATAATCAAAATTATTCAAATCGTATGGGTTAACTTACCGATCTCTCTAATTGGCGCAAATCTTCTGTTGTCATTGTTCCAGTTCAGCTGCTAAGCCACACCGTTTTCTTTGTGCAATGCTAATTAAATATTAAAATGCAACAGAGAAAATCGTTTTTAATGCCTCTCAAAATGTTTTCTATGTAAAACAATCAACCATTTTAAGCTTTCGCTGCTTTAAATAGTTTGACAAAATATTTTTCGATTTATAAAAGGTTTAAATATCACTGTTGATTTAGGAATAAACAACGAAAATTGTTGTGTTGTAGGTAAGTTTTGTTGTTGCCTTTCAGTTTTTGAAACCGATCGATAAATTCATTTGCATCAATGCGCATGAAGTTGGTTGTGTGGACGAGTTCATCTGTTCTAAAAATTACTCTCTTTTTCTCTCTCCCTCTCTCGGTCGCTGAAACATCACATTTGAAATGAGTCAGTCGTTAATTTCGTGCACGAATTCGTTCACATACTTGATGTTATGAAATAACTAAAGCCAGTAGCCGTCGATATTTTAGACAATTTTAGTTTTTCACTATAATTTTCGTTGTTAAATATGAAAAATCTACCAATAATTAATGTGAATGAATATCATGTAGAACGTTTGTCTGTAGCGTTTCCCTCCAATTTTACTGAAGCTGTCAAAGTTGAATTGCGTAGTTAAGTTTTTAGCGATTGGCCATAACCTCAATTCGAATTGAAATGTGTATGGTTTCTCCAGCATTGTGTGCGCTGTCAAATTGTGAAAAAAAGACAAGTGAAGAGAGCGAAGCGAACATTTTGTGCGAAGGCGTTGAATGGTGTGGAACAAATTTTTTTAGAACATCTCTTTTCGTTCACAACTACACACATACAGAGAGAGAGAGTGAACAGAGACAAACGAGCTCGAGTCAGAGAGAGAGCAACAAAAAAGGAGAGAAGAAAAAAAATGAGTATATACTAAGACCCATATCACATTCAGAACGCACTGCAACATCAAACGAGAATCACACAAATAAAAAAAACACACTTTTGTCTGTCTACGAAAAACGAATTCCGACCATTTTGCTAAAAGTCTCATAGAACTATACACACAGAAAAGAATAAGTGAATAAAATTCCGAATAAAATAAAAATCAATAAAGAAACTCTCAAACGTTCTAAATTGTGTGAATGAAAGGGAAAGAAAATCAGCAGTAAAATAATCACGAGCAAAGCGAAACAGAGAGTGTGAGAGAACGAAAAGTTGTTGGTTTGTGTAAAAAGAAACACAACATTATTGGTTGCATTCTTGATGCGTATTTAATTGAGCGTTGTTTATGCTCGAAGTGTTGCTTCCTCAATTCAACAATTAATTTTATATAAAGGGAAATTAATCTCTGAGTCTCTCAGCCCGACCGCTCTGGCTTGCACTGTGCAATTTGAGAAAAACAAATTTACAGCGAGTTTTTTTTTGTGCTTACTTACAGTGACGTGTTCGAATGTGTTTGTAACTTTTAAAATCGATTTCATAACCACGATTTCGCAAAACGCAGTGAATGCAATTGTGTTCATCAATTGTTACGGTTTTTAATGTTTGCATCTTCGTTTTTCTGTTTCCTTTTGCATTTTATTGTTTCTATTTTCAAGGTGCAACAAATCTATTGTAAGTTCAAAGTCTTGTGTGAATAAAATCTAAAAGAACAATACATCAGAAAGTATAGAAATAGAGAAAAGCGAAAGGAGAAATAACAGCAGCAGCAGCAGCAGCAATAGCAACACAAGCGGCAGCAGTGAGTACCCAAGTAATTGCCGGATTTGCAAATGAACAATGAGCTAAAACGAAAGAAAAATAAAAAACTACATAAAATACAGACTAGAAAAATGCACTGCATCTTGACCTAGAGACGGAAATAATTTGATTTGGAATTTAATCGTGTTTTGAGATTCTGTTTTGTCGAGCGTTGCTTCATCAACAGCATCATTATATCCAAATCTACACAAGGTAAATGTTCGTTCAACGCGAACCACATCCAAATGTGTATCATCGTTGTGTACCTCGTCATTACGAGAAAAAAAAACTAATTCATAATCATTAACTACACTCAAGTGCCGAGTTTCGTGTGAAATATATTTTTCATCTTGTAATTTTCGGATTAAATGATTTATTGAACGAATTCTTTCAACCAAGTGAAAAATAAAATCCCATCCAGTAAATGCGATATTGAATGTAAAGCGTCACGATAAGCATACGAAAAAAAAGAGCAAACGCACGCGTGTCTCAGTCTCGAGCATTTTTTACTCCGCTTCTCTCCTCTCTATAATGCAATTCCCACGCATTTATTTTTCTTCTTGCCTCACTTTATGGCGAAACAATAAGAACCTATTTGATGCGAAAGGTGTTTGATTCACATTCGGTACGACGGACGATAAAGTGGAAAAATTGAGGCACAAACATACGAAAACTCAGTCAGTACCAACAGGAAAATGATATTGCGTTGACAAACTCTATCGAACAATGGAAACGTTCTGCTGATGAACTTTAGTACTGTTTTATCTATACACATATATATGCGTACTCATTATGATAACATCGTACAATTTCAGCCAAAAGTATTTTTCGGGACGCACTCTATCAACAATTTCTTAACGGCAGCAGAATCACATTCCACGCGGAAACCATTTCGATTTCAAATGACGGTACAAGAGATAAAGATTATGATGCATTGGGCCATAAGTACTAGATGTGCACGGTGTATGTGTTTGTGTAACACAGACAAGCGAGCATTTTCAATCTAGGGTCGAAGTAGTTAGAAGTGGCAAAAAATTTAGCTTAAGAAAAAGCAAGCATTAAAATATATCGGAAACACAATGCTTGCGATGCTTTGTTGGTTTTGTTGGTGTTATTCGTTTGCCGTATTTGGGAGAAAGCATTTTTGATTGTGTGCGTGTGTCTCAGTGTTTGTGTGCACAATGGAATACAAACAATATACCATACTTAGCCAATTTAGCAACATCCATCCTCCGACAACGCCGCCAACGACGACGACGACGACGACGACGTGTTTGCTCGTGTCGAGTTGTGCTCTTTTCCCGTTTACACGCTGGCTGTGTGTGTTTGTGCGCCTTTTTTTTTTCTTTCTTCTGCCATGCAAAATCATAAGCCAACAAAATAAATTTATCGACATCAGACGCAACACATGTAAAATATCATAACAAAATGTAAATATAGGTTGTTGTTGTTGTTGAAGAATGAACAAAAATGAAATGGCGCAAATTAATTTGCCATGCTTGGATATATTTTTATCGTGTGCTAGTGGAAATGTGACTGAATACAACGACAGCGAGAGAGAACGATTGTGCGTGCTGTATACGCATCAAATGGCAGAGGCGAACGATGACAAAACATTCTAACGACAAAATCGGTATATTTTCAAGATAGTACCAGAAATAAGAGTACACATGCTACTGAGGGGCAGAGAGAGAGAGAGAGAGAGAGAGAGAGAGAGAGAAAGAGAGAGAGAGAGAGAGAGTGAGCGAAAGAGCGAGAGTGTGAGAGAATTTTTCAGTGTGCACAAAATGCGTGCCCGACATCGGCCTATTGCAGAACAAATATCGTTCGTGCTAGTTTATGTGGTCATGAACATTGCAATACATTAAGTGTATTCACTTCACTTGATTTGCGGGTCGTCGCGCTCATCGACAAACCGAACACCCGAAACACTTGCCTTTTCAAATTCCTTCACAGTTATTCAGCCCAAACAATCCGATCACACGCAACTCATGACGCTAACGCTGACGACAACGACTTCCAACAATGAACATCAAATTCACCAAAAACTCTTGGCCATTGGTTGTAGTTGGACAGCGATACACAATGCATTGATTCTATACCTAAAATTATCATGTAGGTGGCATTTTTGACCAATCATTAAATCAATTTTGATTAGGAAACTCTGATTTATTTATATGGTCTTCCGTTCGCACAGTGATCTTTTCAAATGATTCGTTTCTTTTTAGATAAGCATTGTTTCCACCACTTCAATAAGAATTTGAGAGCGCGGTTCTTTTTTTCGATCAATCTCGGTCGTTTTTTCATCGTTGCTGTTGTGGTGTATGTGTTGCTAGCATCGATTTTAATTCTTGCTCCAAATATACAATTTACTAACCGCACAACTTTCTGAGGACCTCAAATGGCTTTTTCGCCATTCAATTTCATTCGTCTAGATTTACGTTTGATTCAAACCAATTGGAACTTGCCACAATACACACATTTTATGGGCTGCATTTCGGTGTGATTTAACGTCACACTTGAGCCAACCCAATGTACGTGCTAAATTCGGTTTTATCGGTAGTTGAAAAAAGTGTGATAAGTATTCATTGATTTCGTGACAAAACGACAAACAGATAAGTTGCGAGTGACAAAAAAAACGACGAAAGTCAGCGATAACATACAAAACCGTAGATCATAAAAATCGATTGTCATCGCTATTTTTACGTGGAACCAATGGGTCATCGTTTACGTATTCGTGTCAAAATAATGTCGAAATGCATAAAATAGATTCAGACTTGAATTGGAGTCAGTTGTGCATAGACAAATATTTTCCCATTTGTGCAACAGTCGAAAATCTGAGTCGGACGCGCTCCTTGTCATCGTGCGAATTCGGGGTGAATGAAACGTTGCAAATATAATATGAGAATGGGATCTATGTGTACTATATTTAAATATATTCGTTCATCTGCTTTGCATGACTTTGTGTACAACTGAAGAAAAAGAAAACTCCCAAGCACTTGTGTGTTTAGCATGACAATTAATACTTGCGTTTTATCGAATCAAATTATCGTAAAATATTTCATGGGACTAATGGTGGTTCAACAAAGCTGTTACTTGGATACAAATGCAAATTATGAACAAAAACACCACCGTAATAAATACCCAACCATCGATATAAATCATTTTAACTGTGTGAATCCAAAAATAATTGTTAACAATAAGTGGTACAATAAAGGCAGCAATAACAGGTAGTCAGACGCTTTTCGGTTAATTTCCATCCACAAAAACAATGAAATGACGAATGAAATGCAAATCAACATGTATTTCATAACGCACACATCGGAAAAGGCGCATATACTAGTATGTAGCGAAAAGAAATGGGAGAAAATGACGACGCCAAAAAGGAAATTTCGACGGAAAATCAAGAACGGATGAAAAACTAGCGACAAAATAGAACGGAATACGTCATTTGTGTAGTGAATATGTACATTTTTTTATAAATAGTAGCATGGGTGTTTGAATTTTGTGGATTTGTGACGAAGTTTACCGCTTTACCAAATCAAGAGATGATGTAATGCGATGGAAAACTTTGAGTCCAATTCCTTGTTTTCCGTTTTTATATACGATTTTCATTTCTTTTTGCTCTGTTCTTCATTCCGCCAAACTTGTTTAACAATGACAATAATAAAATGCAACGATCGAATATAGCCTTATGAAGTGAACACAATTTCCCTTGTCAAGTCAACTCTGACATTATTGAATTCGATTTTGTGCACGAAAATGTTTACTTTGCACAGCATAAAATAGCGCAACCTAATGCTAGACCTAATGTATATCACGCTAAATATAGCAAGTTAGAGGCGAATAACAAAATCGAAAGTACGAATAGTCAAATCGATGGGGTTGCACAAAAATGCATATCAATCTTCGTTCAGTTTCTCAAGCACATTACCTTGCACTTACATCTCAACCGAAATAAAACTGAATCGAGCTATTTTCTCATGGCGCTGTGCGTTGAACGAAAAGGGAAAAAAAAGAAACGCCAAACACTTGAACTTGCACTGCAAAACACGACCCAATCGGATCGAACACAATCAAAACAAACAGACGTCGTCGTCGTCGTCGTCGTTGCAGTCGTCTTTGTCGTTGTCGGTTGACAAATGCAATCGATTAATATAGGAGTGAAGCATTTCATGAGCGAAATGTTTTCTTGCCTTAGAAACAGACGCATCAACGTTGAAATTAAATAAGCTTTCCCATTTAGCAACGCTGCTGATATAATCGTGTGTAACATATATTGAATTGTGCAGTCGATGAGTACGTTGCGCTATCAGTGGCCGTCAGAGTGTGACCGTGTATGAGTGAGTGAGTGAGTGTGTGTATGCGAATGTTGATTGGCCAATGCACATATCTTTGTTTTCACCAATTTGACAGTTATAGCATCGTGTGAAAACAATATTCATTAAGAGTGACAGTCGGTGCGACTTATTTATGCTGTCGCGAACAATTTACAATACAAATTCTTTTGCGTGAAACGAATTTTTATTCCTGTTGTTACTTTGTTGGTTTTCTTTTTGTCCCTGCAGCATTGACAGTTCCTTGAAACGTTTATTGGAAATTTTGAACCGAAAGCAGAAACAACGTATCACAAATACAATCGCAGTTTTATCGGTATTGTGGTTTCATTTGTGGAAGTCGGAAGTGGATGAGAAAGACAGACATTTCAGTCGTCCAACCATAAAACAGTGAACTAAGCGAAGAAAACAAAATGGGACAAACACTTTCGGAACCGGTGACTGAAAAGGAATCAGCTCATTGCCAAAATGATGAACTCATGGTGAGTACAGAGCACGATAATTACGCGAGAACATGTTTTTTTCTTCTCTCTTTCTGTATCATTAGCTCGTGTTTTAATTTTGTTTTGATTTGACTTTCGGCACACGGGCAATTGTTCATTGCTTTGCAAACGGTGTTCAAATTTAGATTTCAAAAGAGGTGAAAGAGAACAAAGTGTCTATGTTTGTTTTGTTCATGATAACCGATCACAGCAACGTAAATCACATAAATGCCCGATGAAGTGAAAACAAAGCAACAACATCATCAAAAACACACATACACACACACATGCATTAGTCAAAGGCAAGAAAAATGACTCAATCACAATTCCAGCAATTTAAAAGTAAATTCTCGATTTATTGATTAAACTATTTTTTCTTCGCTGTTTGCAACAATGAAAACACGGAGCAATGAAACGTATCGTAATTGTACGACACTCACACGCCGCCGGAGACATGTGAGAGTATAAAAATAATTTCGGTGCATTTTTTGTCCGATACAATTTTAACGTATGTATCACTTATGCAGTGCGGCATTTGTGTAGTGTATGTGTGTGCACAGCATACGAAATGTGCCCATCGGAACAATCAACATCGAAAAGCGGAGAGAGAAAGGGAGACAGAGAAAATATACGAGTAGAACGTTCTGAAATTTGAAAATAATAAATGAAGTTGCACTGAACGAAAATAAAAGTCAATCTCAATGTCAATGATTAATTCATGGCACACTATCATTCTCTCTCTCTCTCTCGCTCTAGCTCGTGCTTTCTCGTCGCTCCCAACAAAATGCGATTTATTGACGTTTATTCTTCAACTAAATTGCTGTACTTGTCGTTTTTTTTTCTTCAACAGGGCCATTAATTCCATTTATGAATTAAACCGTAGTTAATGCTAATTTGATTGAATCGATGACTTTTCATGTGTTGCGAACTATTTTTTTCTCTTCCAATTTTGCCACGATTTTGCCATTTTTTTTTTAAATATGAAATTTCGTGATTATGGTCATGTTTGTCGTTACTAATCTGATTGTGCCGTTGTACAAATCTAATAATAGGTTGGCTCTAGTTGTATGCAAGGATATCGAATTCACATGGAAGACAGTCATACACATATTCTGTCGCTGCCAGACGATCCAGGAACATCGTTTTTTGCCGTATATGATGGTCATGGCGGTGCCAATATTGGCAAATACGCTTCGAAACATCTCCATAAATTTATCACCAAACGAGCTGAGTACCAAGCCGGCGATGTTGCATCCGCTATGAAAAAGGTGATTCTTATTTTTCACTTTCTCTTCGATTCCAATTATTGTTTGAAATTAAAAATAGAAACAAGCACAAGGATGATTTATAATTAAAATCGTCCATATCGATTTTTCGTTGCAGGCGTTCTTGGACATCGATGAAGCGTTGCTGAATTCGGAAGAATTGAAGCATGAAATGGGTGGTTCGACAGCTGTCGTCACATTGATCAAAGATAACAAGTTGTACTGTGCAAATGCTGGCGATTCACGAGCCATTGCTTGTGTGAATGGACAGGTATGGTTGTGCGAATGGCACATATATATTTTGAATGAATGTATTGGCCAACAACAACAATGATTAACTAATTTGTATCTGTACTATGTATTTCACAGGCAATTGCATTGTCAGTTGATCACAAGCCAATCTTGCCGGTCGAAATGCAAAGAATACACGAAAGTGGTGGCTGGGTGGAGAATTGCCGTGTCAATGGCAGTTTGGCATTGTCCCGTGCATTGGGCGATTTCAAGTTCAAGCAAAATAAGAAACTTAAGGCCGAACGACAAATTGTCACAGGTAACAATCGGAGCAGACATTATTTTTCATGCATTAAACATTGTTTCGCAAAGCAAATATATTTATGAAATAAATCGTTTATTCATTTAGCTTATCCGGACGTTGAGATTCACGATGTCGACGATAAATGGGATTTTATTCTGTTAGCGTCCGATGGCATTTGGGATGTGCTCAGCAACGACGATGTCGTTAAATTGTGTTTGAAGAAAATGAAGGATGGCACACCACCCGAGCAAATTTGCGAGGAGATTATGACTGAATGCTTGTCGCCAGACCTATTAATGACTGGCACCGACAACATGACCATTGTGTTGATATGCTTCCTCCATAAAAAAACGTACGAAGACTTTTGCAAGCGTGCCGCTGAATACTGTCTGCGTCTGTTTCCTGATGATGAAAATTTTCAGCATGTCAAATCGATCGAAAGCCAATTTCCAAAATGTGAAAACGGTTTGTCGACAATTGTGATACCGCAGAATAATGAAGAGGCTGAAGAATCGAGCTCAAATTCATATGAAGAACAGCCAAACGAAAAGAATGGTGATGACGGCGACGACAAGGATGTCGATAAACCAACCACCGATGCTCCCCTTGAAAATGGTCAAACCAATGAAAAAGCGCCGGATGACACCAATCCAACACAAGAAAGCAAAAAATTCAAAGAGCAAGACACCGAAGCGGAAGATCCAAAGTAGTTTTGTAGAAAAAAGAAGAAGAATGAAACCGAAATGAAAATGAATGGAAACTTTTAAAAGCTATTGTGGAATAAATGGAATTGCTGTAATAAACAAAATGGAGTGAATGTATATAAAAATAATGAAACTTCACACTATTATAAATGGAAAGGGAGAAATGAAAGAGAAAAAAAAACAAGTAACTTACACACACACACACAAACAAATAAAAAAACAACTAAAAAACCATACACATTGTAATGAAGTTTCATCGAATTAGTTTGTAGCTCTGTGAGATACACTAAGACCAGCAGCATTCAAAAGAAACACAAACAAATAAACAAAATCCTATACACTGATTAAGAAGATGCAACATTGTCGGAATGAGCGAATGTTGTCATCAATTCGGATAATAGTAGACTTTTGTACTACATAAATAGCATACAATTTAAGCACCAAATGTAAAACTTTTGTTATGATCCATGTTTAGACATTTCTTTATTAATTTTTAGTTGTGTTCACTGTTTTTGGCATTATTTTTTTCTTTCTTTTAAATTCTGTATCATTAAACTATCTTTCTACACTTATTTTCTTTTATTCACAAATTTTCTATTATCATTTGAAAAAAAAAACAACTGCTAGTTTTACGCTAATAATTAAAAAATAGAAAAAAAAACCAATGTTTATTTTCCTTTTCAAATATACTAAATTGCTTTTTTCTTCTTTTATTCACTGCGTGACTGGCTTACCATTTGATCTTGTTTTTAATTTAAATGCGAAATTCGCACTTCTCCTAAAAGCTGTTGTATAACCTCATACGATCTCCTAACCCATTCTTTATTGTATTTTTTCTTTCGTTCATTTCAAGTAACAGCGACTGTTTGGCATCATTAATTTTGAATATCATTTAATATATTGCACCATTGAAAACATAAAGTCAAAATATAAGCGAACGTAGTTTTTGTGTGAGTCAGAGCATTACACAATTTAAAAGAAAAAAAAAACCCATAGTCTTTTATGTTAATTGATAGAAAAAGGCTTCAGTAACCAAGTATTGTTTTCTTTTTCACAATGCATTTGTCAATGCCATGGCCCATCATCATTCATCAGAGAATTTTTTGGCAAATGTATTGGAATCAATGTTGAATTTCATGTGAGCAAAAATTATGTTAATTAAGCTAAATAGAAGAAAAAAAATGATTTCTAGACTCAGGTGACAAAGCAAAGATTGTTTTTGAAATGAAGATTTTTTTTTTTAAACAGAAAAAATAATTTTTTCGGAGAAAATTAAAACGTAAAGTGGGTGGTTTCTTGAATAAATAAATCTGAAACTGAAATTGCGTTTTTTCACAACCGCTTCCGCAAACTAAAGATGAACCGATGTTAATTTAGTTTTATTAATAAAAGAAGAAAAAAACACATTGACACAAACTAATAATCCATAAGCATACTCCTAGGCGTAAATTTTTTATGGAATTTACACAAACACGCACACACACACTCACACATATGGTACAATTCGCACTCAGAGATGCCTCTGTGTATGTATTTGAAAAGAACAATAGATCAGTTTGTGCGTGTTGTGATCTAACTGCTCTTGGTGCCGGTTCTATGAGCACATGTATGATGACACGCATTTGTCATCATTCTAAAATCAACAAGTGATTCGCGCACAGCGTTTAATTTTGATCTTTTTTTGGTTTAACGTTTTGCTCGGTTTTAAATTTTTTTCAAACATTTTCAATGAAAAAAAAAGAAAACTCCCCACGTGCTCCAAACCGCCCAATGTTATTTCGAGGTAATTTTAAACAACATTTTTGATTGCATGCTGCGAAAATTATTGTTCAATATGTTAACTGTGTTTGGTGACAAAAATGTCACACGTGTTTTCAAATCAATATAATTACACTGTGCGACAAAAAAAAGTTGAGGTGGTCTAACCCAGAGCGGATGTATTGAAGTTTGAAGAGGCCCATGAGACAGGAAAACCCCCAAAAGGATTTTTCCAAATTGGTTCCATATAAGAAAATTCTGGCCATTTGAAAAAAATTGTTTGCAGAGGATTTCCAAAATTTACTTTTACTTGGTTTTTTGCTTTTTCATGCAAATACATGTGACAAACGGTTTCATATTTTCTTCACAAAATTGACCATATTTGTATGGGAGGTACCCGTAAATCACTTCCGATTGGCTTCAAAATTCCAGAGATTGTGTTTTTTGGTGAAAAAATAAGATACAGGAAGTTTCGTGACGTTTGGAATATCACAAATGGGTTTTTTCTCCATAAAATCTCGTTTACCAATCTGAATCTTGCGCTGGCCTACAATTCTTAAAAACATACAAAAGATATGGTTTTTTGTGCTTAATTTGAGTCTTACTAAAGGTTTTAGATAAACAAACTGAAGAAAAACGGGATTTTTCATTACAATTTCACATGAAATGTAAAAGTTAGATACTGAGGGTTCTCATAAAATCATATTTTTGCATATTCCGACTCAAAAATGGTTCAAAGTGCTTGCTTCTCATTACTGAGTTACGTCCTTTTATTGATTTGCTTCAAAATTTTGCGTGAAAAATACTGAAATCGCGCATTTAAAGGTTAAATTTTGAGGATATATACGAAAAATGATACTTTTACCTGTTTGGACCCAAAAATAGTCCAAAGTAGCTAGGTTTTTATTGCTGATTTGATTTTTTTCGGTCATTTTCCATTACTTGTGACCCGTTTGTCACATGGATTTGCATGAAAAAGCAAAAAACCAAGTAAAAGTAAATTTTGAAAATCCTCTGCAAACAAATTTTTTCAAATGGCCAGAATTTTCTTATATGGAACCAATTTGGAAAAATCCTTTTGGGGGTTTTCCTGTCTCATGGGCCTCTTCAAACTTCAATACATCCGCTCTGGGTTAGACCACTTCAACTTTTTTTTGTCGCACAGTGTTATTACTGCATATGTTATCAGCTAGAGGTTTATGTGTCGTACGGATCAGTGTGAATCAGTGCGAGTCATTTCAAAAAATATAGGCAACTACACGAATCTTACAACTTTATATGAAGATTCGCGAGTCCTTCACGAGTCTCTCATAGAAATTGGCGAATCACTGAACGAAACTATGAATTGTCAACGAGCATGTCAGTTGAACTCACAATTCACTCAATAATCGACTACTAAATCAACTTTTTGTCATTAAAAACATTGATATTGTCATATTTTGACTGCAAGAAAATTAAAATTAAAACAAAATTTTAAAATGGTAAATTATTATACTTCAGACTTTGATAAATGGTTGGTTGTTAAGGCAGACAACAATGTATTAAATGTTTTGGGTGTTGAAATTCCGAGAAAAAAAAAACAGTTTTTGCTTTTCTATCGACTTTGGCCCTTATTTACATAGAGAATATCGCTGAAATTGGTGGAATTCATAAACGAAAATCGTGAAGTGTTAATTGAATGTATTTATGGAAATAATATTCCATCCAAATTTTTGACAGCGCATCGAATCTTCATACGGAATATGTCAAGTTATATAGATCAACTGAAAATCGTGAATGTTTCATAAAAAATTTCTTGGAACTTAGTTCCATTGTCAATTTAATACATTTCATTTTCAATTCGCATCCATTCCAGTTGCCTATATTAAACAGAACAAGAAAAGTCTTTGACTCCCTGCATTCATCCAATAATCCAATACTGCATATGTTATTTTTCTTTTACGTATATATACGTATGTGACAAAAAAATTCTCCTTTTTTATTCACATGATGCCAGACCCAAATGCTAACGATCCAGCTCGGGTGATTCCACCATTTGCAGCTCCTTGGATTCCGCGGTGCCGCTGCCGCCCAAAATCTTGCTGACCCTCCAAATCCAATTGATCAGGCCGCAGCTCGATAACAGGTTGGTTTTTTCATGTTGGGAAGAATCACTGGGACCCAAGGCACGCCAACAAAAATGGATACATCGGACGATGATAATATCCCTGAGTAGAGGATGGTTTGGATGCAATCCATTTCGGCCATGGAAAAACTCATCGAAAACAAGGCCAACGAGATCTTCACCAACTAATTTACCTAAGCCGCGATTAGATTTCTATTTAATTCAAACATCCATTCTTTCATAAAATTTACCCACTACTTTTTTGTTTCAAAAAGAAGAAAATAATTACAAAACAATGGCTTAAAACACGAAAATTTGTCGTTTGATTTGTTTATTTTGTTTTCTGTTTGTTAAATGTACGATTTCTTTTCTTTTTCTCTTTTCATCTTCACAATGTTTTTGTTCTTTATCTAGTGTTTCGCGCGTACGCCACCCAGGAGGTGGGCCTGGATCGTTTCTTTTATCCATTTGTTGGTTGTTGCGATGGTCATCGTTGCCACGATTCGGTGGAATTGATGGATTAATCACTGGTGGTGGCATCATTGGCGGCATGCCCGGTGGTCCAATTCCCATACAAGTATTGTGCTGTGGCGGGGGAAACATTTGAGGTGGCACATTCATCATACTCGGAGGCATCATAGCGTCTTGATGAACAAAATAATACAAATTAAATTCAATTTACATATAAAATTTGAAGAATTGTTTGTTTATTCTTACTTGGTGGCGGCATATTCATGTTCATATGCCACCACCGCCATCATTTGAGGGCCTGGAGTAAGTTCTTTAATACCTGAAATTTGATTCGATGTCAAAACGTACTCATTGCTTCGAAAATTAATTCAAAATCACACGAGGGCATCCATCACCAACGTTATCATTTGTCCATTGCTGTTCTTACGTCGATTCATAGCCATAGCTGAAGTTGTCTTCCGGATAGAATGGTTCATTGCCGCTCATATTGAATGGTGGTGGCGGCAGTGACATGTTAACATCGAATTTACCTTTTGGCCGACTGTACCACCACTTTCGTGTCGCATACGTTTCTGTCACTCGCAATACGCTCGCCATGTTTCTTCAGTGAATCCATAGTTAAAGTAATCAGTGATGTCTGCACCGAGTTTTCGCCACGGTTTATCTTCAATTGCTTCGATGTTATATTCTACAGCCGATTGTCCACTAATCGTACCGACACTTTCAAATTCCTCGATGCTGAATTTGCCCATATAGGTTTTCGGTTTGTCTTTACCAGTTGCTGACGCTGGCACCAATAAGTTCCCACTGCGTTGTTTGATATTTCAGCTTGATGCGGATTGAATGTCACCAATCGTAACCACAATATCATCTTCATCATCATCACTGTCGTCGTCATCGTTTTCATTCTTCTCCGAAACCGAACCATTCACATCGAAGGTACCGTTTACCTTTTCGGCATCAATTGAGTAATCTGCCATATAACTATCATCCTGATTCAATTCCTACAATCGCCATTTGACGTAAATTAATCCGTGTGTTATTCGTATAAACAACTCCGTCGCAAACACTTACATTCACACCATCGGGTTATTCTTCATTTCTGCTGCCTTCTGGTGCTGTTTCATTTGAAAATGCCAACTGATTGATCGTCTGTTATTGTTTTTTCATTCTCTATTTGTGGTTGTCCATCTGGATTCTCCTGGGTTTCATTCGAACTACCATATAACCACGAATCGTCCTCATTATTCTCTTCAGCCATTTTCACACTTATTCTTTACTTAATTAATCCAAATTATCAGTCAATTGCTAGAGTTATGCAAAACACAAAATATCAATGGTCTACGGAGATAGAAACTAGTAAACGCGGCTTTTAATTTACATCAATCCTGTAGAAAAAAAAACACAATTTATAAATGGCGACAAATGTCAAAGCACTCTTTACTACATAGGCCTCTTGCAATGTTACGTTCAATGGTCTCTTTGGTTTTTCTTTCCGCGCAACTTTTGGGCAAATATTCGCTTTGAAGTTTATCTTGAAAAATATTTTTCGAATTTTTCAAATTTTTCAAATTTTATGGTTTCCATTAATAGAAAATTTGTAATTTTTCAGTGAATTTTATTAATTTTCGTTTCAATTTTTTTTACTTTCCAGTGCCACCTTTGAACGCACCCATTGCGCTCATCGTACATCAAAAAGAAAAACCACTCGGAAATAAACAACATCAAACATGTGCAAACATTTGACTAATGGAAAATTCTTTATCGTTTCCTAGGTACACACAGAAAGGAAGTGGTGCATGTTATGGTGAGCGATAGAGTTACCACAGTTCTATTCGTGAGACGTAAAAGAATGTATTTTTTTCTCGATTTATATTTTTGAAAACGAATATTTTCTGTTGAATCAATCTGCGTTAAAAGAAAGTATGTTGGCAACACTCCGGTATGGTCTAGCCTCCGCGGTTTTTCACGGTTTCCGCGGAACTGATAAACGATAACAGCATGGTGTCTTCAGAAAATTTGTAGTACTCAAGGTCCTCTATAACATTGCTGAAGACAGTTATTTCTTGTCTTTTATCAGTTCTGCTGAAACCGTGAGGACCAGCCAAAAACGAACTGAAACATACTTCTCTTTATTGCTACGAAGTTGGACCAACTCACTTTCTTTTACGTCTCACTAATAGAAATACACTTATTCAGATTCTCAGTAAACTGTGGAAATGAATGTAGTCACCCAGAACTATTGCGCCACAATCCGTTTGATGCGTACTGCAAAGAAAAAATAAATATCCAGATTATATGGAAAATTCTTTTTATTTTTTCGATCGTTGTTGGTTAATTTTTTAGCTTTAAATTAACAAAATTTAGACAAATTGAATGCAAAAGACAAATTTGTAAAAAAAATTATCATTTTTACATAATATTTAGTTATTATATTTATCAGGAATTACCAATTTTATAACGTTGAGCCTGTTGTTCAAGCCCATATTTAACAATTGTTTCGTCGTTGGCTTTTTCTCGTGTTGTCATGGTTCGACTTCTATGGACAATTAAATCAGTATTCACTAGCCAGTGAAACATATGAGTAGTTTGGAGCGAAAATGTTATACAGAAAAGTTGAGAGGGAAAATGTCAAATGAAAAGAAATAGGTATATAATTTACTATAGATTACTATACAGTTTACTATAAAGCTATCCCATTTCCGCTCATTCATCATCGACATTTTACGGAATATTGAAATATCCCATTTTTGTATTCTCTTCACATTTTCATTGTTCATTTTATTCAATTGCGATAATTGTTAGCTACAGCCTTATCAAGAAGGTCTAGATTTGACATAGAGCAGCAAAGCCTCATCTGAAGCGTTGCTTTCGATTAATTCAATTATATGGTGAAGATCTTGAATAAAATCCTTGATTCCTTGAACTTTCTCCTCGTAAGCTTGAACTAATTCCTCTCTACAATCGGCACGGGTTCGCTCTGTATCGGCAAAGGATTGCCAGGCATCGACAAACCATTGGGTATAATCAACATGAAAGCGGGCTTGCTCTAGGAGAGGGAGTTTTAACAGTTCCTCTTTATTAACTTGTCTTCTACGTACTTCTTCATCATACCGTAGACGTTCGAGGCGTCTACTGATTGTCCTATTACTCCGTTCTTGAATTGGTTTAGGTTTTAGGCTGAGTTTGCCCAATGGCGCTAAAAAGAAAAGAAATATTAGAACATTTACTTGTGCATAAGATTACTAGATTTTGGCGTAGACTTTGGTAGAAAAAAATGTGTTATTCATTCTTTTTCTACTTTCGTCCTTTTTATATATTGCTTTTGACGCAAGAAACATTCTGAATAATATATATTCAAAGTGCAGCTGATGGAAAATCTTCATACTTTCCTGAAATAATAACACAATTTGGATGCGAAAACTACTTACCTTTTTTCAAACTTCGAATGCCAGCCATGTTTTATTGCTTGTAAGAAAATTCAATTTCGCACTTTGCCTGCAGTTTCTGTACTGAGAATTGTCAACAATGTTTGCCTTGCAGCTGTGTGTACTGCACATTCCAGTCCGCACTGGAATACGGAATACGCTTGGAAAGACAATATTATCAACACTCCCCCTATAGTTAGAAGGTGATCATTATGCTCAAGTGCTGCATTTCCAATTTTCCATTCCAATTATGAAATTAAAACATCGCACAACAGTGGTAATAGATGAAGCCAATATGTTTTATGTTTAACGTTAATTTAGAGGACAAAAAGTCGAATGAACAATCCAATTTTTGCATTCAAAGGATCTGGGTTATTGTCGTGCTCAGGTTAAGCACTGCTGAATGTCTAAAATCTACATATATGGACAAGAATATAGACTAGAGTGTTATATCCTTGGTAACATTCGTACGTCTTTTCGAAATTCATGCTCCAATCTCTTATGTGTATAAATCCAAAACCTTCTTATTTTTTTTGCTTAGCTGGTGTTGGCTTCGAACGTTCGTTTGACATTATTACAAAGAACGTGTAACTTCTGTGTGCCATCCTTCGCTTGTATTATTTTTTACATTGGAAGTAATTCAAGTAGAAATGTCTTATAAAGAAAAGCGCAGATTTTTAGTGATTCATGACAATCTAATGACGTTAAAATGGTTTTTGCGTCACGTTCACATTTTTCTGGAATTCCACTTTATCGTGGAATGGTCCATATATCATACTGTATTTGTAGTTATATTTATTAAAAGAATAAAGACAAGAGACTGTACTATTCTGTACACACCTCCTCATTAACTAAGGTTTTATTTTAATTGACCTTTTTTTTCAAATACAATTTAAACTAACTTGTGTCTTACATCCACAGAATGTAGCCTGACAGTATATATTACGATCATAACAACAATGACGACTCATACCACCTGACGCATACTGATTTATTGCAATAGACGGTACACCAAGATGATTTAAACTAAATGACAAAAACGACCATAAAAAAGTGAACATTTTAATTATGAAAACATGATTTTCAGTTTTCATTTCATTATTTTCTAAAAACACTCACATATCGAGTAATTTTAGACGTTGCGAGAGCATTTGTCAAAGTAAAATGCAAACTCAGTGATGCTAGTGACATGCTGGAATAGCATCGAAATGCTTTTTTTCAAGAACTCTACAGAGAAACTTAGAAGATCATAAAATTTACGGATCATTCAAGGTTTAACGAAGTAAACACCTTTCAGCATATTCCGGCCGATGTGTGATGTTTCGGAAACCAGTTTCCTTTTAAATCGTAAAACCAATAAATTTTTTGTTCATTCAAATTTAGTTGATCTAGCTTTCTTTGAATAACTTAAATTATGCCGAAGTTGGAGCACGTGGTAAACACTTGAAATCCCGTGTGCAAATAAAGTGACTAGCAGTCACTCATTTGTATGTAGCTTCAAATAACTAAAACTGGCTAAGTTGATTGAATTCAAAAATGTTGTATAGAAACAATCACTTTTAGTTATTCTTTCAGCCAGTCGTCTAATTTCGGACTTTTTGGCTACTAGATGACTATAACTGTAGTTGACTACAGTCGAATATTTTGTTCGAGATAATCACTTTTAGTCAGTGATAGTCAGCCAAAAAGTCCGAAATTAGGCGGCTGGCTAGTCAGTCACAAATTTTTCACAAGAGATTCCTTTCGATCGTGGTTTTATCAAAATTTAATATTTTTCCGTGGCTTTACCGAAACTTTCCTGTTCATTATCAAACGATGACCGTTGGGATTCCCGAAATTTTCTGACAAATTTGCCAAAAATTAACCCATTATCTGAAATTGCGTCTTAGACAACAACGGTTGAATACCGAGAGCAAAAACTTTGAAAATCTAAAGATTGTAAACAAAGCACTTAAGAGTTCCCAAGAGAACACCACTTTGACTAGAGTGGGAGCGAAATAAATGTAAATTTAAATTGGGCATCAAACCTGTATACGCTTTTGTACAGTCTGTAAATTCGCATGTTTTTTTGTTTGGAAGTCAACCATTTTTTTCTCCCTTGACAATTTTATTTCTATTTACAATCACGAAAAAAATATTGCTTCTATATTCGTGTCAAAAATAAGCCGAATGTTTGGCCACTATACGAAATCAGTCGTTATATAATTAGTTGATGCGGGTATTTCCGTTCTGGAAATTTCTGAGACGGTAAAATGATTTCAACCGTTGAGGCTGTTTGTGTCTTCAATCATTATTTCGAAATCGATGAAATACCTCTCTCTTACATACACAGAACATGAGCATTAGACATGATGTTGCAACAAACAATGACGGTCATCAATGTTACTGGCGATGTTCTGCTTCATTTGTTTCCGAATATCAATTAGTTTAATAAAGTTGTTATTCACATTTTTTTTCAAGTTACAAAGTAAGAATGATAGGTTTTATACCAATTTGGTAAACACGTATATCAAGAATGCTCTATACATGTTGTTCACTTGGCATGGAGGCATTCAACTTGATTCTTCATGTAACAAAAAAAAAACAAATGTATTTTGGTTATGTACGTAAGTGAATTGTAATCAATATTGCCTTGGGCATTATAGACATAGAGTCAACCACAATAATTGATTGTTTACTGATCTTCAAAATTACAACCATATCAAGTGCGCAACATGTATTTTCCATCCTAGTTTCTATCTATTGAAAGTTATTCGTTTCGAATGGAATCGTGTGTTTCAAATACGAGTTCCGACTTCTTCAGTTTTACTACTTTGTAGAAGTTTCCATTTTATCAAATATTCAGTGATTTTTTTCCATATTGAACGTCAAAGGTATGTTTGAACATTGAGAACCACAGCTCGAAAAAAAGTTCAAAATCTTCTCTTCTAAGTTAAATACCATTTTCACTAATGTGGGCGATGAACTTTTTACAAGTTCCCAACTGATCAATAAGTCATGGGTAGGAATCTAATTTGCATCAAAATTCCCCATTCCTAATCCATCGAAATTAGAAGAAAACAAGAGATGTCATCAAAATAAAAACCGATTCACATGAGCCCGTTGACTAAAAGTGAAAAAAGCACACAGTCGTTAACTGTGATAAAATCTCGTTTGTTATAGTTCGTTCGTTGAATAATGAGCTGTGTGTAGGAGCCGCATTTGTTAGCATATAAATGGGAGTTGAATATTTTATTTTTCGCGTAAATCTAACGCAATTATTTTTTGCGAACCATCAATAAATTTAGAATGTTCTTCTCTCCATTGATGGCCTCACAAATTCGATATATTCAAACATTGCGGTTAAGCATAGGATTCGTTCAAATATGGAATTTCATTTTTTCCATAAAAATTCAACACGAAGTCCAAAAAGCAATCAATTTCATGATTATAGTTAGCCACGTGTACGGCCCATTTTTGTCTAGATTTAATTCAGTGAATATGCGTTGTATTCATATGTATATTCTTCAGCGTGTGATCTATCAATTAGATGATATAAACAGACGAATATGTTTACAAAGCAAAGCGAAAATTGCGTATCAATTTGGTTGATAATTTCAGAATGTTTCTGTGTTGAAGTAGTTATTAGTCCATTTTACACATATGTATAACGAGGTTTCAGTCAAAGTCAGTGCCCGACTACTCAGTGATTATCTGTGGACATATGCGTGTGTCAGAATTACAGAGATTGTGTCAGCTGATGGAGTGATGCTAATGTCCATTTTGTTTTTATTATTTTCAATTTCATAATCAAAACAGAAACCAAACAGCGCATTCGTTATCAAAAATTTTATTCGGTTTAATTAAATGACTAAATCGTATTGAATGGAAAAAAATCTAGCCGCATTACTAAATACACTGATAATTTAATAACAGAATGAATTAAAAATGTGCGATAACACGGTGGTTTCAGTGGAAGCCTTTGTGAAGAGTGAAACGGAGCAGCATGTCGAGCACCCATTTTGGTTGATCTCCTGGAGCCATATGACCTAATGGAATCGAACCAATAAACAACAAGAATTTAAAAAAACCGAAAAAAACGAACATATTAATTTGCCAATTCATTGCATTTGTACGTTCACTTACCAGCGTTACGAACCAAAACTTCGGTTAGATTTCCTGCATGTTTTGCATAGCCAGCGATTTCATTGTCCACACGCCAAATGTATCTTTTGGCTGTTTTGTAGTCATCGGCACCGTTGAAATTGAGATTTTTCAAATAGTTTTCAGTCAACGGGTATGCGACGATAATATCAAGCTGACCATTGTACACCAAAATCGGGTAGTGTGAAAGCAATTCTGCCACCCAATCGGCAACGCTGTCCATTACATCCAGTTTCAAATGCTCTTCCACTTTATTTTCGCCGCTCAAATCGTGCCACGAATTGTTGCCGACGTGAATTGCACGACGAGTTTCGGATTTTTGCAAAAACTCACCAAGCGGAGCCTCATCATTGTCAGCCGTTTTCAAGTAGTTGAAATAAAAATTGAAACCTGTTAAATTTTTGAACAGTGAACCCTTCGAAAACTGATCTTCGTCGATGAGCTTATCAAAGACTGTGAATGCACATTCAAAGTTACGATTTTTTATACAATCAAGCCCTTGCTTCTGGTATTGTACAAATGAATCGTAGCCATTTGAATCGATCAATCCCAATTGATACAAATAGTCAGCGTAATTCAATTGATGAATTGGATCACTGAAACCATTTCCAATAGCTAGACCCTTCAAGTTGATCTTTGGTTTTCGCGGATCGCTGCAAACACGTTTGCTGTCTTGATAGATGGCATACCCAGCGGCTGGCACATATTTACCTTTTGGACATATAAATTGCAAGTCGAATTGTATGAGAATTATTCAGTCTGTGATCAGACGATGAAATAATTGATAATAATTACCTCCATAAGATTCACCGGTCACAAAGAATTCATTCTTCTGGAGATTTGGGAACAGCAAAAAGAATTGTTGCAAAGCGCGAAGTAAATTTTCTCCAACATCCTTCTCATTTTTGGCGTATCCATCTTCCGAATCAGTAAAACTGAAACCAGTTCCCACTGGATTATCAATGTAAATCAAATTATGGTTGAGATGCCATGAATATTTGCGTGGTATCAGTTTTTGTGTCGGACTAAGCTCGAATGGGCCGTTTTCACTGAAAAGTCCGAATAAACTTGAAGCTCCGGGTCCACCTTTATCACAAATAATAAAATTTCAACAAATTAACTTTGGTAACGTGAGTCAACAATCTGCGTTTTTTTTCTTACCTTGCAGCCACAAAACGACCGGTGCATCGTCTGTGTCCACTTTGGCAGGGAAAAACCAGAAGAATGTATTGGAATTGTATTCTTTGTTAACGGTGAAATATCCGGCATAATTTTCGATTTGTATATCTGGATGATTCACCGAAGCCAAATTACGTGCCTGAAAATTGTACGCAATAATTTGGTTTAGGTTCAATTGACGCCATAGAAAATTTTCGTTCGATAGACAACTAAAAATAATTCCTACCGTTTCAATGTCGCCGCTTTCAATGTATTTGGTTAAGTACACGGCTTCACCGGGATCTCCATCATCGTGGAATGACTTGAATCGTGGATATGGATTAATGAACGAACCACTGATAACACAAAATGTTACCGAAATATTGAACAATAACAAAATCAAACGCATTTTTGTGCGGACAAATTTCAACTATTTTGCTTTGTTCTCAAAGATTTGCTTGACAATGGATGTCGAACGCACAAACCACTTGACTTTCAACCAACAACTGTGTTTGTCACACAGAACAAATAGAGCAGAGCAAATGTCGTCGCACTGCAACCGAGTCGCTGATGAACTAACACATTGACAGCAAAATTCATAATTAGATTACAGTATGTAGAACGAAAGCAAGCAGAAGAAATGTCGATTATGAATCGCTTGAAAAGATTATTCCACCCTATAATTGAATCGGACATGTGTTTGTGCCTTTGTTCGATTCTCACAAGCATGAACGACACAGATATACATCAGTGTCAACGGCAATTTTATGCATTTGTACTTGTAAAAATTATGAAATACGAAGAAAGCGAAAGCCGAAGAGATAAAGAAATGCGAAAAAAAATCCCAAAATGGTGAAAAAATGAGAATGTAGTAGGCAGCAACCGCGTACTGTGTAGCTCGTTTCTCTGGTGTGAGTTGGCGGAACAAGCAATGACATCTTGTCGATAATAATAAAAGTCTTTGGAAATCTTGGCAAAGTTTGAAAACACACAATAAATTAAAAAAAAAAACGTTAACCATTCGATTTAGGAACCAAGAAATGACAAATCATTCGTCACCGTCTCGGCCATCGATCACATAGTCATTGAGGCTCAATGCATTGGAATTGGTTTTCTGACAATTTTTCCACGTGCATATACGAAATAAAGTGGACATGCAAGTCTTAGATAAGAGCCGTGCAGATTGAATTATTATTACGAAATAAATTATGGCATAAGTTGTGTGCACTTATGCATTCGAGCGCATTACCGTGTTTCACTGCACCGTTCCGACAAAAGATAAAAGAAGTAGAAGTAAAAATGAAAACAACAACAGTAACAGTACCAGCAGCATAGCAGCAACAATACTGAAAATGAAATCGAGAAATAGAGAGAAAATTGCGTATTTTCACGAGCCGGAGCCGAATGCATGTAGGAATGGTCTTCGCAAACAGACAGCAATAAAAGTTTCAATGAATGCATGCAACATCGCCATAATTGAGCACCAACTGATCGGCGTTGCTGTTTGTGATGTTTACTTGTTTAATAAATTGTGCAGATATATCTGTCTGTCTCTCCATTTCGACTCGGTCTATGCGCTTTCGTTTAAAATATCGATTATCACATGAAAGAAAGAAAAACACAACACAACACCACATTGCACACACTCACTAACGACTGTGTGTGCGTGTGAAACATTCTCAAGTGTGCAAAGATCAATAATTCAGCGAAAATTAAGTGGTATATTCTGTCGTTGTGTCATAAATTGGTTTCGCATTATTCAACGGTAGCCTCATCACTTCTTGCCACAATTGAAAACATGATTATAGTTGCATGAAAAACGGCATTTATGAAAAATTCTGAAATCCAAAGGTCGTCAAGTGTGGTGTGATGTGACCGGTCATTAAAAAAAAAACAATTGGATATCGGTTCAATATCATCGATTTGACAAATGCATGTACCGATTGAGGCATTGATTTAAATATTCAAATACCAAAGTCATTTCGATCAAACACAATGTAGCACACGCACTTGCACTGCATGTCGGACGATACAAAATGGAAGAGCCAGCACAAAGGCGAACATGATGAATAGCAATAATTAGGATGGAAATGAAATCAATTGTCAAAAGAAATGTACGCTAATGTATGGCTCACCAACCAACCAGCCAGCAGCAGAAGAAATGATATTTTGTGCTCATTCAAATGAGGCAAATTCAAGCATTGTTAACATTGTACATTGGAAAGTGGCAATTGTTTCGTTTTGGACGATACAATTCAAACGCGCAATAAATGATAATGTCTGTGCATGTTGCTTGTTTTTTTCTCTCTTCACTCCATTTCTTTGCCGAATTTCCGAATAGACACTTCTTTGTATTGCTCCGTCGTACACTTTGATAGCGAGAAATGGTCGTCATCGTTGGTTTTGGACTTTCTCGACCAATTTCCTTCACGCACGAAGAAAAAACACACAAACTTTTGATTTCTTTTGAAATTGCTATGATTTGGATATGCTATTTTCGTAGATTAATGATTGTGTGCATTTGTTGTTGGACAGCCCAACCAGAAGTTCGGCGTTTGATAAATGCGCTTTTTTTTGTCGGCAGAAAAAATATAATAAATATATTAGAGAATAAGTGAGTTCATGACACAGCCATAAAAATTCATGTCGAGCGTTAAACCAGTATTATTTTCGGGTATTTCATGAGTTGAACCGAGATGCCAGTGTACGTATTATGTTATCTTTCTTCATGTGCCAACAGCTGTGTGTATTACCTATCGTCGTCGTCATCGTCATCGTCTACTACGTGCAGTCAACGATTTGCATAGTTTGTGTCGGAAAGTGTGGCCAGTCCGTGCGCTGTTGTATGTTTTTACCAGTTGATCGTAAGACCAGCCAGTGTCTTTACTTCGTCGAAAGTTAATCAGTGCGGCGCACGTTTATTTCGTTCAGTTGAACGTGGAACGACGAACTGTGCAGACATACAAATTCCTTCGGCGCAGTAACAGTAACCTGCGCACTATTATCGATGTCTTCTCAATCAATTGTGTTCAATATTTTTCATCGATTTTAACCATCGAACTTGTGTGATTCGAAAATTTGGAACAATTTTTTAAAGACAACATTTTTTTTTGAAATAAAATTAACAGAAAAAAACGATTGTATAATCGTTTAGTGAATTCGATGCTAATAGGAAAAAAATAGACAAACTGTTGTCATGATGAATTTGGTTTAAAAGTGATCCCATTTTTTTCACATAATAATTTGATTTTGTGCTAAATTTGTTTTATTTTCTTATTGATTTTTATCGATTTGCTTCAAAAGTTTAATACGTTATATTCGACGAACGTGTGTTCAAAAAGCAGGCCATAAATTTGTTTTAACTGCTCTCATCATTTCTTGCAGTTTAATTTCACAACGGCACACCGTACGTGCAAACAAAACTCTTGATATACATGCACAGAGAAAGATATAACTTTTCGACCAGAAAGAAAAAGTGAAAGAGCATACAACTGGTTTTATTTTTCTCAATCGACGGCGGCAGCTCAACCTTAAGCAATAACGAAAATATATATATAAAAAAAAAACAAAGAAGTCCATCGTTCGTATACTAAATAATTGATATAAAAAAATAAGAAACGCACACAGATACCAACAGCCGTCACATCTGAAAATTTTTCTCGCTTTTTTTTTCGAATAAACGTTATGTAAAATGTTGTAATACAAAAGATAAATAACGTGACTAAAACGAGACTGTGAAAGAGAGAAAGATATCAACGAGAATCGCCAACACACAATAACAACATCAAGTGATCGAAGAAAATCCATCATTTTTTCGAAAGAAGAAGAAAAGAGAGAAAAAAAAGCGTATGAAAGAAAAGACACAAATTGGAGCCATCCAAGTGAAGAATAGAGTATTGGCAATAAAATGACATCTCACACGGAATATATTAAAAACGTATAAAGTGCAATCAATTAATCGCCGAAAAAGCAGCAGCAGCACATTCCATCGGAATATACTCGATCCGGAGGGAGACCGCGTTTAAACCAAAGATATTTATTCTACAGAAAATACTTTGATTTGATCAAAACCACATCGCGCTTCATAGTGATTTAGAATAATTTATCCAATTTCCAAACAGAAAGAAGGAGAAAAAGTTTAGTTAATTTTTTTTTTTGGAATTTAAAAAACAATCAATTGTTTCAAAATGTACGGTTTTGATATTCGGACTGCATTTATGGTGCTACTTGTAGCCGTGCATATATTTGGTGATAGTGTATCGCATCAAAGTCATCACAGCAACGCCACATCGGCTACACACAATCATCACAACAGTTCAACAACAGAACGTAGCAGCTCATTAGATGTTAGTGCTCATGGATCGAAACACATTCAGACTGTGCCATTGGTTGCTGATCATCCATCACATCAAGTGATTACGGGGCAATCGGATAATTTTACGCATTTGGTGCGATTGCAAGATGTGCTCACGGTGTTCGACTTGAATGAATTGGCAGCCAAATGGTCGAAAATTCAGCATGAATTCAAATCGAAGTGCGTTCATGATATGACCGAGTATTTCCGTGGATTGCAACACCACAAAATGTGGGCTATAAAAAGTAAGTTTAGCGTGAGCATCGATCGGTTGTATTGGACGGTTCTTGTGTTTTATTACTAATATCATGTCAAAACAAAAAATAACCCGAAAAAAATAATTGCGAAAATGTACGGTGAAGAAAAAATCGCACTTTCTTTTTGCAAATTTGTTGTTGTTATTATTTTTATCGTCAGTTTAAAGCCTGGTTTGAGTCGATTTTTGTTGTAAAGCCACGAACCACTGTGTTTACTTGAAATGAAATTTTCACTAAATCAAACCGTCCAAAGTAAACGGGAACATTTTCTTTTCAGTTATGCTCATTATCTTCTGGTTTCCATTTCAGTATACGTCTTTTTCTTTCTTTCGAATTATTTAACGTATCTCATTTTTGGTTCAATCGAACGAACGAATGAAATGAACTTGATATTTGTTTTCGGTTTTTTGTTTCATTAAAGTCCACTCCTTTCTTCGATGGTGCAATTATTAGCTACTCTGCGATAATATTGTAAACAAAAACAAAACCATACCAAAAATATATTACGTGTATGGAGCGTTGCACATGCGCTGCTGGGTGAACCGTTTTGGATCTTGAACAGTTCTTCATGCACAACGCGGAACAATCGAAAATGGAGAAACGCAGACAAAAAAATAACACACAAACACACACACACACGCGCGCGCGCGTCAAAGTTATGAATTAAGCTTATAGTTTATGTAAAGTTCAAATTTGAACACCTTTCCAGTTTTTTTTCTCTCTTCATTTTATCGTGATTATTTCAACGTCCATCGATTCATGTAAGAATTCATGCAAACCATGATGGAACCATGGAAACAGCTGCATGGAATTTTCAGCATGTCATGATTTCCCACTTACATGGTTACAATAGTATCGAATTGTTCAAAGCTGAAGTGCAACGTGAGCGCGCTTCTCAGTTTCCATCTCAATACATAAAATAAACATTATCGACAGGTAACATAGCATGGCGCGTCTTTGGTCATCGAGATAGAGGTTTTCTCTTTTTTCGGTTACAAGTTGCATGATAATGTGCAAAATTTATGTACCACACCAATCAATCTCTCTTTCTTCACTCTATCTATTAACGAAATTTCCGTTTTGTTGACTGTTTTCTTTAGTAACTAAACATGTGATATTTTTGTTGGCTGTTGTTATTATTATAGTGGTGTGTGTGTGTGTTGTTTCTTGTATTTGGCCGACTTTTGTTTTGGCATTTCGCCATCGTTTTTGTGCTGATTCATGCAGTGTTTTGTGTATATGTGTGTGCTTTTTTTTTGCTTTGGTTAATTATCGTTCAAATAGTTTTACTTGCGATTTCGATTTGCCTGCCAGACAAATTGAACAAAATCGTCGTGTTATTTGTTGTCTTCAACAATATCGTATTGTTATTGGGTTTCATTTTCGTATTGAGATTGTCCTACATTTGCGTACAACATTACAAATCAATGAATCGCTTCCTCTTTCCAACGAATTCGTTGCATATTGAATTATTTGTGGTGGAACACCCCTGACGCATTCGCCTGACCTTAAACCAATGGCAATCCCTTCTTCATCTCACCACAACTCTCGAACACACTTTAGACGACGTCCAATTCCACGACAGCAAAAAAAACAGATTGCATTGTCTCTTCAAATTTGGTACAACACACGATGCTACAATCAAAATTCAATCACATTGCACTCATACACACTTAGATCATGCGGCGTGATCGGCAAACATTGAACGACCGACAAAAAAAAATGTTGATATTTAGCCGACATCGAAAATGTCGATCGCATACATGAAAAAGAAAATAAGTGAAAGTGTCCAAATATTTGAATACTACGGAATGAAAGTTGTACGAAAAATTAAAACTTTTATTTTCTTTCCTTCTCGTCAAATCGCCCTTTATTTCACTTACTCACATGATTGCTTCAAAAAAATAAAATAAGTCGAATGTTTCAAAGAAAAATCGGCATAGTCGTTTTTTTTCGTTACTCTCTGCAATGTATGCGGTCATGTGTCAGTGTTTATATGACACACACACACAGAGAGAGAGAGAGAGAGAGAGAGAGACATTTTTTGTCGGTTGGATGGTTGTCTTAAGTTAACTTGTTTGAATATTCGAAAGCATCAAATACACAACAAAACACCAAACAAAATCGTTTCGATCCGATTACATAAATATTGACTTAAATATTCTATTAAAATGAGCGTTAAAACATTTTGTGACATCATCGATTTTAAACAATTAGTCAATCTCAACGACGTCGAAGACGACAACGTTGAAGACGACAACAACGACACAAATTTATTCAAATCATGCAATAGCCAAAAACCCAATAAATTTTTCTAACCACAAAAATCAAATATTCATTGTTTGAAAAAAAAATTGTGGGTCAGGTATTCGATTCGAGAAGAAAGAAAAAAAATCGGTTTATCAGAACCGAATTTGAAAATAAATCCTTATGAATATTTGTGTGCTAACTGTGTGGTTCTTCAGGGAGAAATGCCATTTCGAAATAATTTCATATCGAAATTCTGTTTATTTCCGTTCAAAATATTGCATCTTTCAACTAAAAGTATTGCCAACGAAACCGAATGGAAGCACGTGTTGCCCAAAAATTCGTCTTTTCTACCTAATTCAAAAGTATTGCATGAAACAGAGTGTTTGGTCTGATTAATCGACGCATTTCCAGTTCTCATCGGCAGAGAGTGAGTCAAGTTTATGATATTCCTCTGTCACACGAAACGCGTTTTATTGAATAAATTTTCGATGGTTTTTTTTTCTCATTCCTTTCATATAAACGCACGTCGATGCGGCAATAAAACATTAGACTCAGACAATGAACTTGTATTTCGGCACACAACGCAATCTAAGAAATTTTGTTCGTTTTGTTTTTCTCTCTAAATGAGATGCTGAGCGCTTAATCATATGTGCGACTGATTATATTATACGCAGCCATGGATGGAGTAGTGGAGTTTCCATTTGCGCGCGATTGGGCTCATTAGGTGACATAAGAAAAGTGAGAAAGAGAGAATGAAAGATATGTGTGATATGATGATGCGAGATGTACGGTGAATTTGTTACATCATATGCCATTCGAATAAGAAATTGTTTGCATGATTTAACCCGCCCACTTCAAATCAATACACATTTGTTTCGCCGTTAAACTTTGCACTCGCATCGAACGAAGCCGATCATCTTTGATATTGGTGGGCCGCATGTGTGCATTTTGTATTAAAACTTTTTTTTTGATGTAGAAGTGTACCTGCTCTTTTCATATATTTTTTTCCACATATAATTTATGGCACAATGTTAATATTATGCATAGCTCTCTGTTTGCTACGTACAATTGTTTACATTTTACATACGCTGTGATGTGCAGTGTGCAGTGCACAAAAAATGATGCACACTGTGCACACTGCACATTGCACAGTAGTTAATATTCATGTTGTTTTTTATTCTTCTTTACAATTAATCTTTATTTATTCATAATTTTACTGTGGAAACAATTATCGACGGAAAACAAGTATATGCTCATACATGAGCACGGAATCTTTTTTTCCATATCTATGTGATGTATCTATGCGGACACAGGGTAAAAATGCCAAGTAAAAACAAAAATTGAAATTAATAATACTTATTTAAAGTAAAAAAGACGAAATCAAAAGTGAATAAACCGCACGGGAAATAAATGACGTTGGTTTGCTGCTGCGTGATTGACCTCCTTACACATGTAAAGTCTATGTCACTGTTAACATTTCTGCACAATGCATGCACATAGTTCACGAAAATGGCGAACAGCTAAACCACAACTTGAAAAAAAACTGTACGTACCAGATAGTGTCGATTTGAATGCCCCCAAATCAATAAACAAATTGGTTTATTTGAATGCAATTCGAAAAATAAAAATTCGGTCAAATTCTTGATATTCTTCACGAATTTTTCCATTGAAGAACTTGTCTAATTATCAGCACCGGTTTGTTTTTTGAGCAGGTCGAAGGGGTCAACAATTGCCAAGCTTGCCGAATTTTTTTTTCGGTAATTTGCCAAGAAAAAAATGCAATTCGAGTCTGTTCGACGCATTAACCGTAAACTAGTTTACAGTTTTGACATGTCCAAAATCGCCGACACACAAGCAGGCGTCATTTGTTTTCGATGTGTTTCCTCAGCGTTCCATTTGCCATACGACGATATATGAATATTTAATGTGGCACAAGGTCAGTCACAACTTTTATGTATGTTTGCGCGCATGTTGTGCTTCTTGTCGACTGCGCTTCGCGCGAATCGTTTTTAAAAACTCAAAATGCCGTTGCGTTGAAAGTGTACACGCACTTCATGTACCCCATGTCATTTTGGTGATACTATTTTTTTTCCACTGATATTACGGTTCCTCTCGGGTAAACTTTTTTAGAGAGTCGCTTAATTTTTTTTTCTCGCATTTTTAATGGCACAACGTTCCTTTTCGCAAGAATGAGTTTTGGCGTTTCGCATTCAATTTGTTTTCGTTTCTTTCGACTTCTGCTCATTATTTGCATAATTAATCATGGTTTTGTGGTTGTTGCACATTTGTCGACATTTTAATCGTAGCCATTTGAATGAATCACTTTTCCTTCAAAATTTATGTGGTGATGAGCACTGATTGCCACTGCCACCGCCGCCACCGCAGACGTCAAATTGAATACTTTCGCTTTCTGCAAACGCTCTAGTGTATTCTTATTTCGCATCGTTTCATTGATCTCTCTTTCATAATGTCATCGACTAGAAAGGTCATGAAGAAAATCGTTCGTCTTACACATAATCACTTTGCATTTTTTTTTTTGGTATTATTACATGGTATCAAAATGCACGATGAATCAAAATGATTTCTGTTAACTGTTCCGGGCTGAAATTTTCCACTTTTTTTTTCGCGACTCAACAATTAAAACCAAAGCAACAATTATCTCTTAAAATGGAAATGACAAACAAAAAGTCTTACCGCACCGGTACACGGCAAGTTCAACAGTTCGTTAACTTCGACAT